ACCCGCTCCTATGTAATTATAAATAATGAATTCTAAGGCAACGCAAATATTAAGGTTAAGAGGCTGAGCTCGTATATGATGATAAATAACATAGTTATGTATAATATATTACATTTCTGACTGTATATCCCTGTAATTATTACACACTGTAGCTTTAAATGAAATCCACATAAATGCAGACAGTGGAAGAACCACAATAGTAATATTAATGGAAGTGTTGACTCCATTTTATCAGAGCAGAAAACTGGGTAGGTCTCTTTAGTGCAGGACTGGACTGCTTTAATTGTAAAGCACAGAGACTTTTGTGTCAGTTGGTAACTTTACATCAGAGACAAAAGGAGGCGTTTCCCAAGGGTCCATTTTAGTGCCCCTTTTATTCAGTGTCTACAGTAGATTCTTCTAACTCGGATCTTTGTAAATAACAGCATTGGTTACTATTGCTATGTAGATGACACGCATACATTAAGTTGTCACCATGTGACTATGAATCGAATATATTTTTTTGCATGGATTTGCCAAATGTTTCTTCAGCTGAACCCAATCCAAACTGAAGCAATTCTTTTTTGAACCAAAGGAAGTTTTTTAAGGTTAGCAGGCAGCTTCAGTTAATACAGCTAGAAACCAGCAATCTGGTTAGACATCTGGGTGATCCTTATAGGAGCACTGCGACAGAAGCATAATCGACCTTCGATAAACTAAAGAACTTCCCCAGAACCACGGACCTTAGCCTCTTTAGAATAATTAATTACTGCAATGTTGTATTGAAAGGTCCAACTAAAAAAAATGATCAGCTGCATGATTCAGAACATCTTCACTAAAATTAAGAAAGTGGAGCCGAATGCTGAAAAAACCTCTCAGATCATCTCGCTCAAATCAGCTCTACAGTTCGTACGTTCCACGAATCCGCAATAAACACTCAGAAAACTTTAAAAGTATTGAAACGCTAAAATGCTTTAAATCAAGATTTAAAAACATATTTGTTTAGAGTGGCCTTTAACTGTACTATCTTAACATATTTAGTTAGGTTTTCAGTCTATCCTTTTTATGTAATTGTCCTATTATTCCCTTTTATTTTCTAGGCAATTGTGTTACATCTATGCCACTCCAACCTACTTTTGGTTATCTTTTTTTTTCTCAAATACAGCACTTTGAATTGTCCTACCACTAGAATGTGCTATATAATTATACTTGCCCTCCCTTTTGGTGGCTGTACAGCCCCCTTTTCAGGCGTATCATTTGGGAGTTTTAATCAAAAGGCTAAGTGTATAGTTTTTTGAAATGGAGTCAGTTTCAAAGGTGTCAAAATGCTTAGAAATTGTGAGAAAATATTTTCTGCATATGTCCGTTTTAATCCGAAGTGCACAGTTTTTTGAAAGCAGTCACATGAAACAAGTAGGGTTGTGAATGAGAGAAGACAGGAACAAAATAACATGAAGTCAGTTAATCTCCGCAAGTACAGATGTTGTTACCACTATACAAATTGTATGGAAACCTTAAAATAAATCATATAAATGATAAGGCATAATCTCTCGATGAGAAATACAACATTTAATTTCCGTACATATATGAAGTGTCTGGGAAGAAATGTTTTACAATTAAAAACTGTTTGTAACCAAATCAATCATGGACACCTTTCAGATGAATATGAAGCTGGAAAAATGGAAAAATAAATAAACTACAATATTTCAAAGAATAATTTTCATTTTCATCTTATAACCTATCCCAGAAATAACAAACCCTTCTCCACGCCTGATGGTATTAGGGCTGTTGTTGGTGTGCTATTGTGGGCTGATTGCTGCAAGAAGAGAGATGCTGACAGAGACAAACAATGATGGACCAAAACAAACAGAACCAAGAACTTTGCCTAAGCTGACTTAACTAAGCTTAAATCAACCTGGTTGAGCATTTTTTTTAACATTCTTTAAACTCCCAGCAATATATATATATATATATATATATATATATATATATATATATATATATATATATATATATATATATATATATATATATATATATATGTATTTATAATTTATTTCAACTCAGGTCAAAGGTGAAAGTCAAACCCCCATCCAGATACTTTGAGGTCAGTGCAAGGAGAGAGACGCCAGATCGTCTCAGAGTGACCTTCCTGACGGCTGGAAAACTCACACATTTTATTTATTGTGTTCATATCATGTTTCTTTTTTTTTAATTGGCTCCAATTATTTTACAGCTGTTATTAATAGTTTAATTATCCCCTATTTCAGTAGACAGATCCCATTTAATCATTCAGTTAATGTTAATATGCTGTAGTAAGAATAAATATATTTCCATAACATTTTCCTCTCAATCGTTTCTGAAAATGTGTAACTCAGGTTCCCATTTAAAGGAGGTGTGTGACATATACAAATATATATTCTTGACACTGATATGATATTTGACATTTAAATATAATTCTGTAGTTGGGTTATTCTGAAACATGCACCACTGAATATTTATGAGACATCGTTCATTCCTTACTAAACATGATGGATAATCTGGGATTCTGACCTTGTAGATTACATGGGATCATCAACTCTTAAAAAAAATTAGATCCAACTGAGACATTAACAGAGGATTGTAGAAGTTTAAGAGAGACAATGCAAAGAGAAACAGCCAAGGATCCCTCCATGTCTGCTCCAACTATGAGAGATTTTCTAGGAATGAAATTGCCAAGCTGTTATATTTCAAATTGGTGTTTTTCATCACTGAATAAATGCTCTCAAATTAAGGTTTGGATCTTTCTTCAAAAGTTTCAGATGTTAGAAGAAAATATTCTACAGCTTTTTATGCGGAGGGCAACCATTTATCTGCATCTGTCAGAGAGGCCTTGAAATTCATGAAAAAATCTGCAATATATACATATATCACTGATTCTTGAAACTTCGGCAAAAACATGTCCCACTAAGAAAAGTGCTAATTCTGTTGGAAAGAAATAAAATTTTCATGAATAAAAACAATCAAGGTTATAATCAGGGGGTCCTTTGCACAAATGCAAGGTTCTTTTAAAGTTTTTTTATTTTATTGTTAATTTAATGATTATATGCTGGCCCATTGCCTATAAAATCAGTTGTCCTTGGATAGGAGATAATCATTTCAACTTGATTAAAAAAACAAAAAGTAATAATTGAATTGAATAATATCTTTACCAAATGAAAGGGTACATTTTAATATGTATTTAAAACTACAAACAGTGAGTTTTTAACAATAATAACCATTATTTTGTGATTGTTCAAAATGTGTCCCACATATTTGTCACCACCGTCAGATATTTATAAAAAGCAATAAAATCAGGCAACTAAAAGGTCAACTACATGCCTGAGGACCCCATTTTCAAATCTTCAGCTCTACTGGATGCCTTAAGGTCACTCAAGCTCCTGTAGGTTTGCTATTTTCTCTTAAACTTGTTCATATTTTTTGGACACTGCTAATGTCACAACCATAACATGTCAACACCGTCTCTTTTGTATAAAAAATATTAGATTAGATTATGACATAAATGTTTACTTTTTAAGAAGAGGTCTAAAGTAGCTAGCAACAGAGGGGAAACAAGATGGCTAATGTGAACAACTCATGCATATCATGTGAAAGAGTAGGATTTTGTCACCACCGTCAGACGTCACCACCATCAGATTTTCTGTCTGACGGTGGTGACGCACAGTCTGACGGTGGTGACAAAAAACTACAAATGGTTCTCAATGGAGGCTAGAAAATAATTGTTGATCTGTAATGTTTCATTAACCTCTTTTATATTTTTATTTATGTAATTCCGCCTAGATTTCTTCCATATTGTATAACCCTAGGGGATGGGGTGTGCCTTCCCTGTCTCTCAATTCACTATTATGCCATGTTCATTTGGTTTACATCATTTGGGATGCACATAGTGCACCTACTACCTACCTACATAGCACATAGTATACAATATTCCTTGTAAGCTATGGCAGGGCAACATTTAACCAAATCTAACATTTACTGTAATTCCCCCCAATTTCATAGTCATTACACTCAACTTTGACTTTATGTATTTTAGGAAGTTATGGCTAGGAAGCAGCTATCTGTGAAGGAAAGAAGGAAAAGAAACAGGGAATATCAAAAGAAGTGTGAAGGCCTACTGACAAAAAACCTACATATATTCAAGCAATTACTCAGAAGGTTCAAAATTTCTACCATAATGCAGCACGAATGACAACTGACAAACAGGACACAATCACACGCAAGAAAATAAAGCATCAGAGAATGATTCTGACTGATAATGATATTTCTTAATTGTACCTTATATTCCTTGAAAAATATTTGTCACAGTGCTCATGATTGTTATTTTTTGGACCAAATAGTTAAATAAAGTTAATAAGCAAGAAACCATTGACTTGAATTGTATACAGTTTGGAATTGTATGTTGAAATGAGGCCACTGTCACCACCGTCAGTTCTAAAGTCACCACCGTCAGAGGGCTTTTTATTCGTTTTAAATTAATATGCTTGCAATATGTTTCTTCAGTGCTGTTCTCTCATTAAAGTAATGGTCTCTTTTAATACAAAAATATGTTTGTTAAATAAAAAAACATGACTTTTTCTATTTAGGCTTAAAGTAAACGTTATCTGATGTTAGATATTTTAAAGGACTACACATGATACAGTTAAAAAAAATTAACAAAAATGATTATTCAACATTTAACAGCATAAATGTGTGCTAACAATGCCAGATAAAGATTTAAAAACTCTAAATACTTATTAGACCAAATAAATAAAAAATAATTAGCTTTTTATTGTGTCTGATGGTGTTGACAAAAACAAAGTAATAACTGGAAAAATGCCTATTTTATGAAAGAAATACAAAATGAGGAGGTTGCACCTGTACACTGCTGAACAGCCAAGACCTTGGTCTATAACAATATACCTTCAGATTTTGTAATCCAACTAACTTTTTATTTTCAAAATTAAAACCTGTTTTATCCAAATTCCCAAGAATCAGTGATATATATAAATATATAGAGATATATTTGTTTATAAAACTCATTTCTTAAAGACAGAAGCATCATATTCATAGTGCATCAAATAAAAAAACAGAAACATGATGGGGTGAGCTAACACACACAGACAGATCGCTGCTAAACATTATCCAAGGAGGCTGTCCATAAACACTCTTCTACTTAAAGTAGGAAGGGAGGTGGGAAGCAGCTTCATTATACTCCAAGAAAGGCTTTTGTCTTCGACAAGCCCACAATTTGCTCAGCTGTTTTCCCTAGTTGTGGTTCTTTTTGTGCTGCACATTTGAATAAGCATTTCAAGGCTTTCCTCAGCGCCCCACGCTGATGTTGCACACTTTGCAGCTTGGATCTTTCTTGGCATTGGCTGTGGTCAGACTCATGAGCTGGTGGTGGCCAGTGATCTGCTCCACGCTTCCCTGATTCAAATCAACCGGCTCTGTAAAAAGCACCTCCAGGATCACATCACTGGCGTGGCAGAACACAGGCTCCTCCCCCTGCCTCTGGGGGGGAGTATAGGTCAGAAAGGGGTTGGAGGCCAAGTCCAGCCTTGGGAGGCGGGTGCGACAGAAGTCGTCTCCCTCTGTGCCAACGGGTGCAAGCACCAGCACCACATAGTGATATGCTGTGTACATGCAGTAAAAGTCTGCAAAGTACAGGCAGATGTTTGGGTTCAGCAGATGTCCGGCAGGAATCTGAAATCGGAGGGGGCCGTATGGAGAGTCTTTGGGAGGAAGCCCCGTGTCAAACTCTGTATTGCAGCTGAAGAAGACTCCGTGGAGTTTGCCGTTGATTGGAGAGCCATGGCTCCCGCTGCTATCTTTAAGTGCTGGACGCATCAATCCTCCACATTCCCTCCTAATTAAGGATATAGAAAGAAAATTAGGATTTTATTTAACTGGGGAAGCAATCAAATCAAAGACATGGAGAACAGCTCCTACCTGACATAGTCAAAGTATTCGGGATGTTGATTGCGATAGAATACAGAGAATCTCAGCAATCGTCCAGCAGAACCGTTGGCCTTGTCAAGAAGCTGCTGAAGGTGTTCCATGGCATAATCTGCAAACATTTATAGAAAGAAACTCAGATCTGCTTTACCTATTGTCAAAAACACATCGTATCTCTATAGCTTGTTTGTTTGATGTGAAGCACTGCAGCCGGAGTAGTGAGTTCAAATTAAGATCTTTGCAGAGTTCACGCTGCAAAACCAAGTGGCAAAACCAGCCCAATGCATCCTGACTCACAGTATCCAAATTCACAATTTGAAAAGCTCAAAGTTCCTCTTTGATCTCATCCAGATCTTCTCTGCTCCCCTCAGTTCCCAGCTTCATACTGAGGGTGGATAATTCTTGTAAACATTCCCTAAATCTAAAGCCTTCTCGCCCTTAAAACACCCACCTGCAGGGGCCTGGCGCTGATGAGAAAAGAAAATCCTACATCAAATTAAATTACTTCTAAACACATCCTATACGTACGTAGTTAAAAATATAAGTCTTTCAATAACTAAGTGTGCTAATATGTCTGCATAAGGTTAAATGAGTTCACATGCTGGAAATACCCAGACTACCCCGAAAATATTCACACTGCTTTTTTAAAATTTTGTCAGGTTCCAACAACTAATTTAATTTGTTTTGTTTAAATATAAAAAAATAATAATTTTCAAAGATTTCAATTTCCACATCTGGAAAGTTTTTATAATGCAATGGACTGGCGACCTGCTCAGGGTGTACCCCACCTCAAAATAGGCACCGATCCCGTTTGGGTTAACCATAATGGAAAATGGATGGAAAGCTGTTATACAGATATACTGGAATATACTATGATAAAAGGTTTGGAGCTCTTCATTCAATCATTAAAACAGGTTTTAGAAATCTACTGCACTGGTCTAATCCATGCTATTCAAATAATTGTTTGTAATGTGTCAGAATTTTCCAACAAAGCTTCAGGTTTATTTACACATTTTCTTTATCTTAAATTGTTCCTTGCATTTTGTTTTTTTGTGTTATTGTACGAGATGATGAGCCTTACCTCCAGTGCAGAACTCCACCACCGGGCTCCACTCTGACACCAAGTAGTCACCGTCCGGCTGCCTGACGGCTGTTTGAACAGCAACACAGTAGTCTGTCCGCGGGCTGAGGAACCAGTGTCCTCTCACTGCCATGGGGAGAGGAACAGCCTTAGCCACCAGCTTGGTTGGGACATCCTGAAAATCCAGTAATAAGGGTTTGTCAGGAGCAAAATATGAATAATAGCTGGAATTGTTAAATCAATAGTTTTTCTGCATGAAAGTTCCCTTATTAGGGTTGTGTTTCATCTGAAGCCATGGCAAATGTGACTAGGATACATCTAATCAAATCAGCAGCTATGATTTGGCCAAGGCTTCTAAGCAGCACAGCTAATTACCAGCTTAGTGGTCTACATATCCATGGAAACATCTCTGATGCAAATGTTTGTTTTTGCCACTTTGGCAACAGCTGTGTGAAAGGGAAGATAACCTTGTTCCTGAATCCTTTCTCTTCTTCCCATCAAAGCTTTTCCTTCTGAATTTTTTCAGTTACAGAAAGCATCTTGGAGCAATAAGCCATAATTACTGTCAGGGTTTCACAGCTGCACAGAAGGGAAATTTTTTTTAAATTATTATTTCACTCTTATGTGTACATGGAACTGGTTCCATCAAAAGTGTTGGCATCAAAATGAAACAGGTTCTAGAAACACAAGAGGAGTGTAATCACAGTATCAGTGGAGGTGGAAATGTGAAATATCCCTGGTTCTGCAGCTCTATTCCTCTAATCCCTCTGCAGCTGCTTTTTTTGTTTTTAACAAAATAGCAAATTTATTGTATTGATAGAAGGTTTTGAATTTAAAATTAATGGCAGTATACATAAATATTTAAATAGCAAATTATTTAGATTTCTTAGAAAAGAATAGAACAAAACAAAATAGAGTAGAATAGAACACAAAATAGAATAGAACAGAACAGAACAAAATAAGACAGAATAGAATAAAAATAGAACAGGATACAGTAGAATACAATGGAAGAGAACAGAATAGAATACAATAGAACAGAGTAGAATAGAATACAATTGAATAGAGTAGAATAGAATACAATAGAATAGAGTAGAATAGAATACAATTGAATAGAGTAGAATAGAATACAATAGAATAGAGTAGAAGTGAATAGAATAAAAAAGGTATAGCAAAGAACAGAATACAGTAAAATATAATAGAACAGAATAGAATACAATATAATATAATAGAGTAGAATAGAATACAACAGAATAGATTGAATAGAATAAAATAGAATAGTGTTTCATGAGCACATAAAAGGTTTACAGAAGAAGCAAAAATACTGTAAATTTATCGAAAATGATAAACTGAGATCAAATTAATATGCAATTGAGAAGGGTGATTTAAAATGTACAAAATGCACATGCAGCCTATCATTTTATGTAAAAAAAATATGATGGTTATGAAATCTGACAGCTGCTGGGTGGAAGGGTCTTTGAAGATGCTCCTTAGTGCTTAGACAACTTTAATTGTCATATTGTATACACAGAGTGTACAGCTTCCATTTCTTAAAGTGCAGCAGTGATCAAACTGTGGGAGAAAAAACATTGTGTGAAAAAAAAACGCATTTATATTGAACCTCAGAGCATTAATATATATGGTGCAAATATGCAGTGTTTTGTTTTGGTGTTGTCAGTTTGATGCTGAGTCTGTGACATGATGCAGAGATTTCTCAACAGTTCAGCTGTCTAATGGTAGTGGGGAAGAAAATGTTTTAGAATCTGCTGGACCTGCATCAGATACTTTGAAGCCTCTCCCCAGCAGGGAGAATAGTCCATGGTGGGGGGGCGTGGCATTTATAATGTTACAGGCTCAGTACACGCAGTGCTGGGATGAAATGTATTTTATGAAGGGAAGAGGTGCATAGTGCATTAATAGTGCTGCAGTCTTTAACTAAAGGAAGTGTCTAACACACCAACAATTTTAGGTAAGAGGTGGGAGACATATTCTAGAGATGACTGAAAACCTGAAGGCTAATTTATAAAACAGTTCTTTCATGCACCATCAACCTACACTGGAAGGTCACTTCCCACTGACTTTTTATTAGAAAACTCGCTGGAGGTTCAACAACAGATGAGCTTTCCTATCATAAGTGCCCAACACTGTACCACCCATGGCAAAAAGATATGTGTCAAATATTTGAAAATGCAATTAATCTAGTTATACGTATGATAATAAAGCCTATAGGTAGCAGAAGTCTGCATACAAATAAAGATGTCTTACTTGCTAACCCCCCAAAAGTAATTCTTGCTTGTTTTTTCTTAATGTTCACTAAAACTCACCTTTTCAGGTTAGCTAGTTAGCCTGCAAACTCTTGGTTTTACACAGAGCCCAAACTGCAGCTAATGCTGTTAATAAGTGTAAAACTTCCAGGGGGGTTTCGTAAATAGAACACATCTGGATTCATTAGTTAAATTCATTAAAGAAGCAGAGTGCAGATGTGAAGCTGTAGAGGCTACAGAAGGTTCAGCTATATTAGGGTGTTCCAAATATTGCATTAATGACTGATTAGACACAAAAACATCAACGTTGGAATATCAATCTTATTATTAGTTTTATATCCAAATGAATTCATATTGCTTAATACTATTAATATATACTATCTTCCTTTATTGCTGCGGTTAATTTATGAAGTGCACTGGATGTAATTAGGTTTAAAGCTGCTCACTCCTGCAGCTGATATTGTCAGCCTTTGTTCACTTTAAAAGAAAATAATGCACAACTGAATCACCAGCCTGCAGCTGTTGACTGTAGCTATTTTGCCTTTTTCCTCAATTAGAAGAGACTGAAAGGGAACAGCCAGTCTGTGTTCATTTTCAAATCCAACAAAATACAGAATACCAAGATCTATTCAGACCCAATACTCTAAAAAAATTGGTTTATTTTTTTTCATCTTGTGCTTTTTTTTAAATCCATTTTGAATTTTGAAAAGGTGTTAATGAAGAGTACACAGAGCAGCTGCCCTGCAGGTAGGGGATGATATAAGGCAGCAGTTTCATACCCTGTGTTTGAAGCGGTTCGGGTCCCTGCTCTCTTTGCGGCTCAGGTCGATGAAGAAATGCGTCGCTCTGGCTGTGTCCTCTGGAGGCATATCCCACATGATGCGGAAGGAATCACAGGTCACCTCACAGATCTGGATGTTGCAAGGAGTGGCGAGAGGGGCGTCCATTTCTCTCATCTGCCGTTATATTAGGAGATAAAAACGCACGGTTAGGCTGATCTAAACACCCTGTGATAGCAGTGCCTTGATCTGTGCAGATTCTTCTTAAACATTGGGACTAAAGTCAGCTCTGAGCAACAGCAGAAAACATCATGGATGAACACATTTCTGACAGAATTTAATGAGACTCTCATTTAGGGATTTATGTGGCAGCTTTTTATTCATTCTTTGAACATTTTTCCACTCCACATCCCTTTTCTTGCCCTTAACTGACATTTGCAGTTATTACACAACTCCAATATGCTCCCAGCAGAGTGAGTAGCCTCTGTTTTGCCTGTGCATTTCATAATCCACCTACAGCAGTCTCCAAGCAGCCACACATTAGCAGCCTCCCTCAGTCTTCTCCTGTGATTGTCAAGGAAGGGGTCATAAACAAACTTGGAACTGTCAGCAGGAGCAAAAACTACAGGAAACTCATTCAACATCTCTACCTCCCTGCTGGAATTTTGCAGAGAACGGCAGAACAAGTGAAGGAAACGCAACTTCGCACAGAAACAACTGGGGAGGTTTGAGCATCTGTAGCAGCAAGTGATGAACGATCATGTCCTCCTCGCTGCTTGTTTGTTTCAGGTGGCTGCACACAGCCCAGAGCACTGAACTTGGCACAGTCTGCGTTTGTTTATTAGCTGCTGCCTTCTCGCCTCTTAACTGAGGGGAAGACTGTTCAGAGGATGCACTTTGGCTGAGTTTTCCCCTTAGGCCTCCACTCTATACTTTTCCAGTAATATTCAGCCATCTGGATGTATGCCATCTTATTTTACAATACAGCGAACTGCAGTTCCTTGAAGTGTGCATTTTAATATTGATCGAATGTGATAAACAGGATAAACAAACAAGCAGCACAAAAATATAAAGTGGAAGTAAACATATGTGTTAACAAGCTTTAACAAAATCTGTGACATGCATCGGTATTCACATCCCCTTAATCAACACTCCATGTTGTAGATCTTTAATTTATAGTTACCAGCTTTACATGACTAAAGTTAAAATGTTACACGTGCATTTTCTTTGCAAAATAGCTCAAAATCCATTAGACTGACTGTGGACTATCTGTGAATATAGATTTCCGCTTTTGTTGGTTCCGGTTGAAACTAGAAATGGTCAATTACAGCACAATAATTCACTCTGATACATTTGATTCTAGCTCTGGCTGAATGTTTGCTGTCAATGTCCTGCTTAAAGTATTAGACCCAGTTTATTTCCGTACATATGATTTATTTTTCATCCAGGATTATCATCCTTTTAAATCCACTCAACTCTCCATCAACTCTAAAGGTTTGCATGTCTTTGCACATATGTCGACTGATTGTGACCGAAAGGCTTCAATCTTTATAAAGGCTATATTTATAAAAAAACAGAGGAGCTGGATCTCTGCAGCTCCCCCAGTGTTACCAAAGGTCTGCTTCTCTGTTTTCTTCTCTGATTGTCCATCACTTCAGGTGGAGGGTCATGTTTGGGTAGGTTTGCAGGTGTGCTATCCTCTTTACATACTTGAAAGGTCGACTGACCAGTTGTGAGAGATTTAAATCTGAAAATCCTGGTTTATATCCTAACTCTACTTAACATTGTCTCCCATTCTGCTGTGTTTTTTGGTCTTCGTGATTCTGTTTGTTGACATTTCTTTTACAAAGTCTAACAGCTGGATTTATAAAGAAATGACATTGCACATAGGTGGACTCCATTATTTACTATTTAACTTAACTGAGTTTAATGGAGGTAAATTAGATTAAAGAGGACTGAATTCAAATGAAAGCCTCAATTAAAAATTCCATTTTCAATAAAAAAAGTGCATCCTTTTTTATTCTTCTTCTTAACTATGCAATATTTAATGTTGCCCTATTACATAAAGTTCCAACAACATGCACTGTATCATCTTGTTGACTGCCTGATTTTGCAATGCATTAAATCATGCTCATATTACAGCATCTCTACAACCTAACAGTGCACTTTTTTTCTTGTAAAACGCACGCTTCCTCTGAACATATGCAAATTCAAAGACACTGCTAAAAATAACACGCTGCTTTTGTTGTCTCTGTGATGCTATAAAAGCCAAGCATGTTGTGGAGTCATTTTTTGACCGCTAAGATGCTCTGCAGTCAGGATGATGGACAGGCTGCAGCAGCTCAATAAAGCCTTTGAACTGTGAAATTTCTGAGGTAACCCATTCACACAAGGACCGTGCAGAACGGAGGGGTGCATCACGTGTGTCTTCATGCGTCTGCTTTACAGCTGCTTGCTCTCTTTTATAACCATGGAGCCTTTTCAGCGACAGAAACTGGGACAGGGAGACAGATTCTCACAGGACCGGTCATCAAAGCCCTACGCCTCTCCGTTTGCACTACTTTTGGATCAGGAACGTGTGAGCACAGTTCAGACATGGGTCTTAATATCATTCAAACCCTTCCACTGCGTGGCCTCATTTGTAGATCAGTGCTTTGAGAAGAAAACCGAGCCAATTATCTCTACTTTAATAGACAGCTGCTCCAAACAAGACAGCTGGTTTTCACTGATAATTACAATGAGTTTCCATCATAGATCATCATTTATCAGCTCATGCATGCATGCACTGAGTTACTCATCTCTGTCCAAAACACGCAACGCACAGATATTGACCTGCAGCAATTATGCTAATTAAAATACAAAGCAATTAAAGCATTTTTGGGTGAAATTTAGTGTCAACTGTTTCTTCCTAGAAATAAATCACATTTTGATTTAAAAAAAGAAGAAAATAACAGAGTTTTTAAATTGTTTCAAATTCTTTCTTTTAAGTAGAGTTAAGATTCAACATCAGATTAGTGTGACAAAAACATAAAGCTGTTGGTTGCTCTGCACAAATTAAAGCAATAATTTAAAATGATCATAGTCCTATTACAATAGTAAGTAATCAAAATCTTCCCAACTGTAAAAACATAAGCTGCACATGCATAAGTATGCTACTAAAATGAAAATCATTATAGTTCATTTATTGATATATGGTTAAATGTTAGATACTCCTTTAGAGACACACGGGGAGGATGAGGAAGTAACAGAAACAAGTTCATAGTTATTGGAATAAAACAACATAGCAGATCTCATGTGAGCATTTAAAATCTTGAATAAGCAGAATAGTTTAATCCCTTACTCGTCTGAGGCTCGTATCTGTGATGGGAGATGTTTCCAACGTCACAGCACCGTCTCTTGCTTTCCACTTTCCTCCACTGATGCTGCTTCTGATCTGTCCCTGAGGAAAACTGATTAGAAGGTGAAACAAACGCACTCACAGGCTCCTTTCTGCTTCTTCTTTCTCCTCCTGACTGTTTCTCTCCCCCTGTCACACAAACAGCCTAACCCCCATCCACCCTCCCCTTCATCCCCTCCTCCCAGTCTCATTTCTCCTCTGATCTCTTCGTGGTGTTTACTTTCACTCCCGTTCAGTTGCACAAACAAAAAAAACCATTATCCCCCTGAAAGACAAAAAATCTGTACACTGAAACACGACCACAGCAGGGGGTGCATGCAGAGTCGACCTCGTCAGCATCACGATTTCACCAGCCAACCATACACAACACGTCACCCGGGAGTAAATCCATCCTGAGGTGCAGAATCTGTGCACACACTCACTCCAATGTAGTCTGCACACTCCTCGACTAAATGTCAACTCTAAGTGATGGTGACATTATAGGCACTGGACGTGTAACTGAGAAAGAAGTCATGTTTTACATCCTCCCTTAGCAAATTCACAAGAGATTAACTTCTGATTTCCATCTGAGTGATGCCCCAGTAGATTATGGAGAGTGCCACCAAGACCTAAAAAATATACGTGCCAACTGTTCTGCCATATGGACTAACTCTACAGGGCTTCTCCCCCCACTTCCTGTCCTATCCTAGGGTCCAGGGATGCCACTGTATAAATCCCAAGTAAGCAGATTTCCACTGGCATTATTTTCAGAGAAATAAATTATTATTTGTGCTTCATTTTGGATTCCATTTGAGGAACCGTCCTCAGATTATTATGATAATCTGCTAAAACAATGGATACAAACACAGGATTAAGATAATATAATGATATAGGTCAGACTCAAAGGGAGGGAGCAGTCCTCCCACAGACACACCATTTTCTAGTTTCAAAATGACCACGATATATTACGGTTATTTCACAGACTGTGAGCAGTATTGAAAAGCTTCGCTTATTATCAGGCAAGCAGAGATAACTGATAGCCTCACAGAGTAATTAAGCTGCAGTCATCCATCATCAGTCACAGCATGACAATCCTTTCCCCAAAACCCTCTGTGTTGAAAAGGTGATTGTATTTATTTTGCAAAATAAAGTCCTGCCATTAGGGGGCGCCAAAGGGTAAAAACAAGAGGGGTCCTTCATAGCGTCCCAGTTAGGAAGATATCTTCCGCATTCTGATTATATTTGTCACTATAGGCATAATATTCGTTTTATCTTTTTACATTGTGTACCAGCTTATATGAATATTAGTAGTTATATATAAATAATATTTTTTCATGCATTTTTCGATGGGATTGCTTAAATATCTTATCCCACTTGCCTTTTTTAAACTACTAAACATTGATTAAATAAATAAGGACCTGTGTAAAAAGAATAAAAAACAACTTTAAACACTTACTTTAACAGTATGTAAGGCAAACCCACATCAGTGAGACTACTTTTATTAACATGGTTGAATTGAAAAAACAAACAAACAAACAAACAAAAACTTTATGTTCTCTTTAAAATCAATAGTAAAAGAAGCAATGAAAAAAACTAAGACAAATTTAAGGACTTGCATAAAGGGGATTTAAATCCCTGGTAATTTTTAAAAGTTGAACAGAAGCCTTCTTTTCCAATTCATACTTTTTTTTGGATAGCTTATTTAGAAACATTTTATTATTAATGTATACTCTATATTTACCAGGGTTATAAATACTATCTGGTACATTGATCTTACTCTTTAATGACTATAGAAAAGACAAGAAAATATACCATCAGTTTAGAGAATATGTGTAATACTCATCATAGCTTAGCAAACGGCTACAAAAATTAACATTCCTCCTAAGTTTATGCATTGCTATGGAGCTATATTTAAGTTTATAACAACTAGCAAGATACTTTATCATCTCCCAACTAAAAAAAAAAAAAAACTTTAATTAGATGAGACTAAAGCATCCAACACTCCAGGTGAGTCAGGGGTTTTTAACTTGGGATTTTTTCCAATTTTAATATACATACTAAAAGTAAAGGTAGGGATTTTCCTTGTTTATTTTCTGAGATAATGTCTGCAACAGCAGATGAATTAATATGAATTCCTTACACGTCTTTGACCAGTGAGTTTGCATCTGTGATATATTTGAGATGCCGACATTTTGAAGACAAAAAAGAGTAAAATATTTATAAGGTCGAAGACACAATTTCTGATAAATAGTATTTAAAAATGTTTTGAATTTTGTCTTGCAAACAATGTGGTTTTTCATAATTTATTTTATGTACTTATAACTTTAAATTATATCTTAAAAAGCAAAATCTTCTTAATGAAATCAAAATCTCCTTGCTGTACTTTTTATGTTCTTTTTCGTAAAAATAACCTCAGTTCTTTTAAGAGAAAAATGTGTTGCAGAACGCCTCACAGGTTCTTCGTTAAGATCATGTCTGCGTCAAACATTGCGCAACAAACAGCCGAATATGCGGGAATATGTGCGCAGCGCAGCTCTGAATCTCGTGAAGTCAGAAACCGGAAGAACAACTTCGTCGTGTCATGGCGCCGTGCGTGACGTCAGAGCTCGGTAGCAAACAGCTCGAGCTGCTATCCAGCAGTCTGTGATGAATATCAGGCTGTGAATTAAAATCCAGAAGGAGGATCTCAGAGGAATAACAAGTAGGTAGCCGAAATAAACCGGAATCCATGTTGGATGTGTTTAATGACTTCCTGTAAACTATAGTGCTGACTTCATGTGACTGTCTGTTGTAATATGGCCACGTGTTAGGGATCTTTATTTTGTTTATTAAATGTATAATGTTTTATGATGTATGTAAAAGATCATCACATACCTACTAAGAGCCACATTGTTGGATAAAAAAAAGCAAAAATAGATTAAATAGATAATCTTGTTTACAGTAAATAATATCTCCTTAGATCAATTATTACTTGTTTGTCTTTTCCTAAACTTAGTTTAGTTTTTGATTCCTTTAATGGTTAGTAGCAGTTTGAACTTTGATCTAAACTGTTATAAAAGTGTTTAACCATAAATATCTGTGCACACTGTGTACATCCACCATCTATTACTAACAACACCATTAAAAATACTATTATTATAATACATTATGCAGCTATGATATTGTGCATTTCCTTCTAGTATCTTGCAAGCAACAGTAAAATCTATGATGAACTCAATTTGTTTTTATTAGAAATTAAATAACAAGATGTAAAGAGAAATTAAAGTCCCAATAAAAGCATTTTGAAAGAAGTAAAATTTCATAAAACTTTGTTCATCCACTAAAATGTAAAACCAGTTATGTGGGGTTAAAGGTTAAGACTGCTTGTTTGAACTGGTAATGTTAAACTGGGCGGTGGTTCTGTTTTCTTTATCTAAGGCAGCCCTTCACCTGTCCACACCCGTACCTTGGATTATAGAGAAACGTCTGCTTTTCATGGCAGCATTTAGTTTGTTTACTTTCACATATAAAGAAACAAAATAAGGCGTCTAATTTAATTCAGGTTCGATTTAAATGTTCGCAAAATCAATTCACAAATACAAGAAAATGCAAAAATTATTTCATAATGCCGGTAGAGTGGAAGACTATGCCTGGCCTAGATGTTTCCCTTTTTTCATTTTCACACAGGAACCCATTGGAACAAGTATAAGAAGAAGAGTAAACTGTAAAGAATAAAGTTGAATTTCTCCTCAGTTCAGGATGGCAGACTCAGGAGGCCACGGTGGTCAGCGGGCTCCGGCCCCTGGAGGCAGCGGCAGCGTAGGACCGCTGATGGGTCGTCGACCGCCAGCGGGGATCTCTCCTGGCCGTCTTCCAGCCGTGCGATCCAGAGACCTGACACTAGGAGGAGTAAAGAAGGTAATTTCCTGTAGATCATCTTTGGATGGCATGTTTTAATTGACCATTGGGAGGAAACCATTGAACTGGAAACAAACTGATAAGATTTCCATTCATTTAAAGTGTCCAGTTTTCGCAAAGCTGTGACCTGAACTGACTTCTCGTTAAAAGCAAATGGCATCAAAGAATATAAGAACAGCAGTGAGAATATTTTTTTAGTAATTATTAATTTTAGAAGCACTTTATATTTTTAAAGTTGGACATTATTAATGATTACAGTGTTTAACGTCTATACCAGCTGTTACTGCTTTAACTATTACTAAAACATCAGCTTTCCTACAACTAAACTCTGAAATAAAGCTGCTGATATATCCAGCACGTTCCAACACAGACATGGGTGAAAAGCTCACAGAAACAAAACACACCCTTGCTGCGCCTCATTCAGCCTTATTGTTAGCTGCTCAAAATGTTGCTCTCTCCCTCCGCCTGACATGTCTCAACTTTTCTCAGAAAATAAAGTCAGCTTTGATTAATTTCTTGTGTCGCTGTGCTCCATCTGACCTAATTTTTAGAACCTCGCTGATGATAAAAATCTCAAACTTTGATTTCGCCTGTTGCTATCAGCCTCGAGTTAGCACTGAGGTTTGAAACATTCATAGATCAAAGAAAGAGGTCAGATATTTGAGTTTCCAGTTGGCTGGTCTCCTGTAAGAGATGTAGCTGATTCAAGTAAACATCCGATTTCTCCATATACCTTTATTTTTAACATAATCTAAACAAAATGGATGCTGTAAAATGATGGCACCTCCTGAATTTTTTATTATTTTAGAATAGACCCTATAGCACTAATGTACATCTATATAATACAGGAAACTGTTTGAGGGACATGATAATGGATGGTAGTTGTTTAAAGAGATTGAGGTTTCCATCTTATTTACTTCAGGCCTTTTATTTAGGGACGCACAGATATGAAAATCTGGGTCAAACCTGATAATAATATTAACATTATGGCGAATAAACAATTGTATCCCCCTACCTTTAAACACCATTAAAGACTGATCAAAGTGCTGAAATTGTTTCTCTGCTTCAGGTACACAACCACATTCCTGTGCTTCATTACACCAGTTTCACATGACCAAACAAACACCACATGACCAATAATCTCCTCCTGAAACAAAAACAGCAGCTACATACAAATGAATATATTTTTTTTATATCGGCCCAGTTTTATTTATTGGATCGATGCAGATATGCTTAGAAATTATTAACAGTGGTCGATACCGATATCAGTGCTGATATGTGATGCAGCCCTTCTTTTATTAAAGAAGAAATCACCTCATCCTCCTTCTGATTAGTAATACAGTTATGGTGAGTTTCATAAGAAGGAGAATAATCTGCTTAATATCATTTTCTTTTAATTTATTTCTCTGTTTTAACCATTTTCCCCCCATTGATTGTGACTCATCTGAAACTAAAGGTGGGCCTCTTTACTTTTGTTCCAGTGAGAGAATTCATCTGGAACCAGAATATATTTGAAATTAAGTGAATTACTGTCTGATCTCTAACCAGTGTCTTTGTTTATGCTTTTAGAAAATCTTTACCCCCAACATCATTGGCCGAAAAGTCAAAGAAGAGTGAGTTCAGAGGAGCTTTAAATTAAAAAAAAAAGTGTTTCTTTGTTTTTCTGACTTCTTAATGGCTGTCTGTTTTATTACAACAGACCAAAGGTCGAAGGTGGGCCGAGGCGAGAGCAGAGGGGCACTGAGCGAGGTCGAGGCCCAAGAGAGAGGGGCAGGGGCCGCGGGCGTAGCGAGGTCATCCAGTCTCACTCCATCTTTGAGCAGGGGCCTGCAGAGATGATGATGAAAAGAAGAGGTGGGACTGGAGCTGGACAGGCAGCTAATAATGAATTCATGCCGGTGTCTTTTGCATTGATGTAAAAGGAGCTCATCATCCCACACAGGAGGCTACGAGAGTGAAAGAGATGCACCGAGCATGGGACCTTCACCCATCATCAACATTAAGAAGGAGAAGAGGGAGACTGAGGAGGAAACCAAAGAGATTCTGCGCAAACTTGAGCGAGAAAACGTGAGTCCGTCGGTGTTCAGACCACTGTTTTCTCTGTTTCATTTTGTGGCTAACTCTGTGTTTATTAAGGCAAGGAAAGGCAATTTTATTTTTTACAGCACAATTCAGTACAAAGACAATGCAAAGTGCTTTACATGGTTAAAATATAGGAAAATAAAACACAATCAGAGCAAGTAGAAGAAAAAAATGAATAAATAAATAAAAAAAGATGCAGAAACAAGAAAGAACATTAAAAGCAGTTGGACTAAAGAACATAAAAAGAAAAGAAATGAACTAGTCATGTTTCAGTTGAACTTTTTAACTAGAACAGTCGAAGGCAATCCTAAACAAATGTGTTTTTAACCTGATTTAGTTCATAGACGACCCTTTCCTGAGGAGTGAGCAGAAGAGCTGCCCTGTCCAGCTTCCCCTGGCTGTGTCAGGGTGGGGATTCAAGGAAGAATTCAACAGTGCTGCTGTTAAAATAGAAAAGACAGACCTGGATGAAGCCACGGACCCTTCAGTTGAAGGTGGGCGCAAAAGTATCAGGGCCTCATGCATCTGATCAGATTCTGAAACCTGAATTAATGCTCTTATCAACTTTGCAAGTCTGTGTGCAATGTTATTATCATAGGTGCATGCATAAAGATTCTGTCTGAACACATCTACAGTGAAACAAGAGCCAGAGGAAGTGGAGATAAAACAGGCTGAAGCCACTTTCAGGCCTCCTCCTCTCCCTGAGCCTGAAGTTCTTCCTGACCTGCTACACAAATGGAGTCTGAGCAAAGGGGAGGAGCTGTTCTTCATCCAGCTGCCCGACTCGCTGCCCGGCCAGCCGCCCACCAAGGAGCACAAGCCGATAAAAACCGAGGTTCAGTCGGAGGACGGTCAGTCCGTGCTTCTGAAGACCGAGTCACAGGTAGATGAAGGAGGCGGTGGTGTTTTAATCCACGTGGACGGATGTTGGTCACATGTATAACCATTTCATGGATTTGCTACAGGAAGAGGTAGCCGATGACAACAGCTGCAACTTGAAAGATCTGAGGGAGGGTGTTGTTGGAAAGATGCTGGTGCGAAAGTCTGGCCGGGTGCAGCTCATCCTGGGACAAGTGACCCTCGACGTGTCTCTAGGGACAACGTGCTCTTTCCTGCAGGTATTATGGGTTACCTATCGCCTTAATCTAATTTATTTCATAATTTAAATAATTATCACATCCTTTCTAAACATTTTCTGCTATACCAATTTTCTTTTCAGGAGCTGGTTTCTGTTCAAGCAGCCGAAAGATCTGGAAACCTGACAGTATTGGGGAACATCAGACACAAAATGGTCTGCTCTCCTGACTTTGAGAGTCTGCTGGAGAACAGGACATGATAGTTGTTCAGCCAGAGGGGCTCTGAGCTGCCTTTGACACATTAGATATATTTAATAAGAAACTTAAACCTATGTCTGAATAAATTATGCAGCCGACCAATTTGCCTTTTAGTTTTTTCAAAGTTGCTATAATTACATAGATATACATGGACTGTGAATATTTTAGATTTATTGCTCATAATGGACATAATGTTTGGTGGTTATAGGCTTGAGTGCCAAGTTTTGTTGCTCTTTACCTGACAATGATGTACATGGTTATAAATATGTTAATAAAAAAAAAGTATTATTGCTATATCAGATCAATTACGGATTACTGAAATTACAGAAATATTTTCAGAATACTTGTTTTTTTCTATCTTTTTTTATTATTAGCTATTTTTATTTCTGTTAAACAGTTCCATTCATGTTCTGAAGAGAAAAAAACAATTCTAGTTTAAAAAAAAAAGGCTTTTCCTTGTGGAACAATGTCCTGCTGCTCTAAAAATAGGAAATACACTCAACTGAAAATTGAAACTCATAGTGCTTGGCAGTAAAATAAATTGAAATCGACAAAAGTAATAAAAAATAAAAATGATTAAAGAAATGGAGTTCATGACATTGATTTGGAGTAAATATATAGTAACTTGAATTATTGGTGTTCATTTATAATTTTCTTTAAAGGGAAGGTACACAAACTTGCAAGTAAAAAAAAGTTTGAACACAGCATTTTGATACAAATATGCTATTTTTTTAATGAAGATAGTTAAAGACCTTATTTTTTTCAGCTGATGGTTTATTTTCTACAAAACGTCTTGGGTATAGAAGCAGCCTTTCTGGTGTTGATAATCTAATTAAAAGTCAGAGCAGCAGTCTGTGATATAGCCCCTCATGCTTGGCCATGACTGGTTTTATTCTGCCAAATTGATCTGACTCCTAGATATGTAGAGAACATATTGAGATTTAAAAAAAAAAAAGTGACAATAGAGCCTTTAAGCAGAGAAGCGAAAGCAGTGCAAGATTTTCTAATAATCCAACCCATATAAAAAATAAAAATAAAATAAACAAATACTTGAAAAGAATCTCTGTAATGAATTTCCACTTTAGTAATTAAACTAGTTCCATAAATTAACATTTCAATAATATTCGGTTGAATGTATGGCACCTGATAGCTTTATATCCAATTTTATTTTAATGACTATATTTTCATGACTTGGTGAATTGTGGCATTTTTAGACCCTGACGACACATAAATCTTATTGAAAATTCAAAGGGAAATGTGGGAATGGGGATATTCATTCCAGACTTTAATTGTATGCATGGAAAAGATGAACAGACATTTTATCTATATACACAGTAGAAATGGTAGCAATTATTATTAGTTTACAGTGGGTGGAGGAGGTTAGACCGGACTGGGTGGACAGATTCTAAAGCTGCAATAGAAAGCATTCAATCAGGAGGAAATAATAGACCTTGATGATGACCTTGTACTAGAAATTCATCAGAGTTTGTTTAGGCTATTTAGGTATGGAATAGATGTTCAGTTCTGTTGGGTTCCAGCACATGAAGGGGTGAGAGGAAATCAAATGGCAGATAAGATAGATAAAAAGGCTTTAGGAGAGCAGAATATAGATCAGATTCCATTTGGGAAAGGTAAAGGTAAATCAATAATTAAAAAGAAAGAAACAGAATTGTGGCAAACAATATGATATGAAGATAAGAAATTAAGAAGATTATATAGGGTTCAAAAACCTGTATTTGTTAAAAATTATGGAGAAAGAAGGATAAGGAAAGAGGTAATTTATACTGGATTAAGAACTGGACATACCTACTTGGATGAGTTTTTGTTTTTGTACTAAGGAAGAGAAATAATGATTTATGTGAGTGTTGTGAAAGAAAAGAAAATATGGATCTTGTTTTGATGGATTGCATTAAATATGGAACTGAAAGAGAGAGGAAAGTAATTATGGAAAAAGGGAGAGAAAGGAGTATTAAAGGAATTTTACAGACAGATTGAGATAGGGAGGAAAATGTTATTGATAAAGCGTTTTTATTTTTACATAACACAAAAATAAAAAATAGAATATAGTAGGTGGAACTATACACACTCGTGTACAGTGGGTGGCGGTATGCACCTATAAGTTGTTTGCAATCCGCCAATTTAACAAAGAAGAAGAACGCGTCATAACAGCTGCAATAGCTCACTGTGACCACCAGGTGTCACTGCGGGTCACGGAGATAGGAGCCGCTTTTTTCGGTTGGGTCGCCCGCTGTTCGCTCGTGCTGTCCGGCGGGTGGAGTTTATCCTCGGTCAGCGCGCGAGACAAAGGCAGAGGGATGGACGACGGAAACCGTGAAGTGTCGCCACTGGATGTACGGTGACCCAAGGTTGGTCGGATACGAGTATTTCCCAGTCGAGTTATTAATACTTGAGTTGTGTTAAATCCCGTGAACGGTTGGCTCAGCATGTCGGCGCTCTCACACAGCTGAGGGATGAGGAGGCTAACTGTTAAGAGCTCTGGCTAAATGCTAACTTCAGCTTCGGGATAGATTTATTAGTGGCGTAAGTTGTGTTTTTCTCCCCCTACTTTTATTGTTATTATATGTTGAAATCCACAAAATAATAATGTAAAGAGAGTGGCTTGTTTAACAGCGTATTTGAGCTGACAGTCCAGTTAGCCATCGCGCTTTATCATGAATTAATCTTGATGGAGGGCCTCCTTACCGCTAACACTATCTCTACACTCCAGCCAGTAACTAAATAACTCGTTAATATTATCCGGCCCATCACAGAAAAAGGAATAGGTGGTTGTACATTACTTCCAAACGCCGTCCTGTTAGCTTAAAGAAGCTAGCCTTAGGATGGAGCAGCAGTATTTCAGATGTCCTCATATAGACAGGCTGTCTGTTTTGTATTATTGAATTATCCATCAGCATCCAGGCGGAAACGGTCATAACAATGTTGCCCAGATGGTCCTGATGGTTTGTTTGTGCATCTCTACAGGTTGATATCCAGCTGCTGACTCCTCTGATATTCACCGGCTAAAGGAACCACCTGCAGAGTCCTCTTGTTTTTGTTAAATTGTTTACTTTTTCTGTCATCAGCGGGAGTTCATTCACTCCGAAAAACCAAAAGGACATCTGTAGCAAGGCCTGGACTTTTTTATTGTTGTTTTTTCCCCCTTCATTTTATTGGACATTGAAAACATCCCAGTTTCCAATACACCAATTAAATCTAAGGATGATGCCCTAAGGGGCAGGATGAGGATGGCTGCTTGTTTTTGTACTGAGTTTTCAGTAAGTTCCTGGAGAAGCCCTGTCCTCTAATGATCTCCATGGAGGATTTTTCGTGACAAACCCCTCCGGGGCCACTTGGGTCCAAACTCTGGACTTACAGGAATTTGAATCCCTAACTTAAGAATATTTCAAGGAATAATAGCCGCATTAACTTCAGGATGGAGCTCTTCTTCAACCCTTTTGATAATTTACTGTGCATCCTGCTGGGGATCTCCTTCACGGTGTGGTTCACCCTACTCCTGGTGTTCATTATTGTTCCAGCAATATTTGGGGTGTCTTTTGGCATCAGGCGTCTTTATATGAAGACATTGTTGAAGATCTTTGAGGTAAGAGCTTGCTGGCTTTAGACCGTAATTTTTTCCCCTCTTTAAATATTAAGCTTTTGTTCTGAACAAAGATTTATGTAAAAATTAAGAATTCACAGATAAGAAAATCAAGCTCATCAATTATAGTCCATTCTGATCTTTCTTTTAATATTTATTAGGGTTGTCACGATACTAAACTTTTCAACTCGATACCGATACTAAGTAGAATGTTCGACACTCTATACCCTTTTCGATACCACAAGGATAAAAACAAAGACTGTAAAATTCAACAGAAATATTTGCATTACTAAAAAAAATACAAGAAATAAATAAAAAAACAATAAGAATAATATTTTGAGGTTGTATGCTGTGCACAACATTAAGCAAGCTTGATCAAAAACTTACAAAATTAAAATTAAGTGTTCCTTCCTTGGCCATAACAATGACACTAGCCAAACCAGTTAAACAAAAATAATTCTCAGCAGCTGCACCTGTTACAAAAATAGTCTGAAACTGAAAAATGCACAGAATTATTCAATCACTCAGTGTTCAGATAGTGCATTTTCCACTATTCTGCACTTTAGATGGCTGTATCGATACTTTTGTGAATGAGTATTGTATCTGGATACAACGTTTCAGTATCGATACTTTTTTTAATATCGATATTTTTGACAACCCTAATATTTATAGAGTGGGGCAGTCTTTAAAAAAACAGATTACAGGTCACTGTTTGCAAGTATCTTGAAAGAAAAAAAAGTATAGAATTGATTTTAGAACAGTTTTTCTCACTTTCTCAACTTTCTAAATGGCCCCAGTCCATAATGCTTAGTGAATGCAAGCTTTCTAAACAATAAAACCAAACATCATCTTACTTTTCAGCTTCCGGTTGTTTATCAAAAAATCCCATAGAAAGTACTTTCTTTTCTATAAGCTTTAACACCTTTCATACTTCCTCAGACTTCCATGTAAACACCTGGCTAATGCTAATAAGTAATATTCCCTCAGTTACAGCTCCTACACAAAAAAGGGTTGTCAGCACAACCTATTAAAACATGATAGGAAAAAACATGAAGGTAAAGCTCTAATCACGCAGATCCTCTATCTCATGTAAGCATTTATATTTAATTCTATTTTAGGTTTTTGGGAAATATTTTCCAAGGAATCAAATCCAGCGTATGCTTGCCTTTAAACCTTGTTTTTCTAGAGGGGTTTAAATACCTCAGTGTTTTTGTCTTCACCATGCTGCCACACGCTCAGGTGGACTCATCAAGGAGTATCCACTCTTACTAGAAAGAGTATCCTGTTTTGGCTCACACTGTGACTCCCTCCTGTGTACCTTGGCTGCATTTTCAGAGGATGACTCAGTAACGAGGATTGTTTCGACACACTAGAAAGGTAGAGCTGACAGAAGGCGACAGATATGCTTTATTGCCTGAAAGGTCCTGCACATTACATATACCTTAGAATTTAAGGATTTTCTTTTCTTTTAATTTGCTTAGACAAAAAAGACACAAGAGAGATGCAAAGCCCCCAAACTTCCTTCAAATTTCCCGTTTCCAGTCCAGCTGTGGAGTATTTGGACATCAGCAGCCTCCACCCAGAGTTGGGTTTTTTAATCTTGCAGACACTTTGAACATATCATGTGCTGCGTCCTGTTAGATTGTTGATTAAATAAAACTCATGGAGCATGTCCCCAGCCATACTTCCTGATCTCTCCCTGTTTGCCTTTTAGCTTGATGAACACAATGTTCCAATTTTTATATGCATTTATTTTTGTCTAAGCATGTGTATGATCTCACTGAGGTGGGATTTGATATTTCAGTTCAATCTGTGATTATGTTTTAAATATACACTAGTTAAAACCAGAGATTTATGATTATTTTTCTATCTTCAGATTAGGGTTTACCCTAAGATTTGATCAAGTTTTCTTTAGCTTTTTTGCGATTTTAATAATGATACGGTACAGGCTGTTTAATTTAATGTGTCCCTGTTCGCTGGATCATTGGTTCCAAAGTAATGAATAAATCATTCTAGTGTTTATCATCAGAATAAATTTAATGATAAACACTAGATTAGCTTCTACCAGCTGCATGTAATAAATCCAATAGAATGCGACACAATAGACAAATTGCAACTTTATTTTACTTCATTTTAATGTTAATCTTTTAGCAAAAATTAAAACCTGTCAGAAAATTGTACGTTCTTGTTTTTATGCATTTGCTCTTGTCTTGTTGATTAAACTTCTGAGAATAGCGTTCATTTCTCCACTTTACCACTCGTAGCATGATGGAAAATTAGATTTTTTTAGCTGCAAACCATTTTCTGGAACGTTTAGCATCTCGCCTAAAGTCTTCATTGCACAGAAACTTTGATTCAAATCGAACAAATTCTGCATTAGTTTGAATTTAATTCATTTGCACACTTCTATTGCAATGACATGCAGTGCTTACTTGGAAGTCTGTTTAACGTTAAAAACCACAGTCTGTATCAGTCTTTTCATTTTGACATAAATTCTAGTCATTCAACATAGAAAAAGTGTATTTTTATTTGCACGCTAATTCTAATGCTTAGTGTTTAGCCAAAGAGTTTCTCTTTAACATGCCTGTATTAAATCTGCTTCCTTAATAGTTCTTTAACTTAGAACATATAGTTTGAGATACATTTTAGGGCTATTACTTAATGATAATTTTGCTAGTTGATTAATCTGTTGATTAATTATCAATAAGTAATTAATTATCAATAAGTTTAATAATAGGATAGAAAAAGGCTGCTGAAAGATAGTTTTACAGAATTTAAATTCTAAATGAAGCACATTGACAAAGTTTTATCCTTACTGCAAAAGTTTATTTTTATATTTTTTATATATATATATATATATATATATATATATACATACATACATAATATAATTTTTTTTTTTTTACCCTTTTCTTATAATTACTCCTCTAAGTAGCTTGCTCGGTCAGCTAAAGGCATGTTTTAGAGTCTCTATACACCAGTTAAATATTTGTTTACTAAATTAGCTGAAGGTTATTTCAACAATTGTTTAACCTCGATTAATCCGATTGTTTCAGCCCTAAAATATTTCAGTTTGTACCTCCCTGTTGCCTCCTTGGTCAGGTCTGAGTTTGAAAAATATTTTTAATCTCATCAGAGTTTAGCCTGTGTTAAGTGAATAAGGTAATAATAAAAACAAAAAACAAGCAAACAATAAAATATGATCTGTCTTTCCTCCAGTTAACCCTACTTTTTTATATAGCTCTTGTATGTTTCAGTGAAAAGTAAGATAAAGTGCATACAAAACTGCAGTATTGTGGAGGATTTTTTAAAAGACCTGCCCTCCCCACTTAAAAAAAAAAAAATGCGCAAACAAGAGCATGCATGAGCCCATTTCTCCTCCTGCATGCTCTGTTTAAAATGTGCTTTTCTCATAGCTCATCAAGCTTACTGTGTCCACATGCAGTGGGGACAATATAGTGGACTTCATAGTGAACACAGTTAACTGACCGTTCAGACAGATGATCACTTCTTTTTGCTCGGGTTGGTCACATAACTCCTCCTTCACCACGCAGTGCCTGCGCCATCTTTATTAGTCGCCACTGTCGGGAAGCGGCAACCTATGGCGACACTGGGCCGCTGTGACAGCAAATTCTATAATGCTCCAGGCATGGACGTCTCCGCGCAAAGCATTCTGGCATATATATGCCTCTTTTGAGGCTTTTCTCTTGTTATCATACACTTCGTGGGCACTTTTTCTTTTACGACCCTCTGCCATTTTCAAAGCACTGCGGTGACAAAGATGAGCTACAATGGCTGTCTGAAAACATAGCTCACTACAGATATATGCCTGAAAGTGTGCATGCGCAGAAAAGGTTGCAACATATCAACAGAATGACTGACAATTAGGAGGTCCACTTATTTAGATGATCCACCCGGAAATAAATCCTTGTCCTCTATATCTTTAAATGAACCCCAGCAGCGATTATTTCAGGCTTCTTTCTGTGTTCTTCTTAGATTATTTGTGCCTTCAGTGTCTTTCCATTTAAATGCAACATTTTTTTTTAAACTATTTAATCCTCTTGTCTGTGAAATTCTTTTTCACTTCAGTGTAACCTGCTCTCTGCTTTTCTAGTGGGCAACACTAAGGATAGAGAGGGGAGCCAAAGAGAAAAATCACCACCTGTACAAACCTTACTCAAATGGTAGGATCCGGTTGTCTTTTTTTAATGTGGTTTGCTTTGGAAATGTTTGTTTTTAGTTGCTCTGTTTGTTACAAAGGTAAATGCTAATGTGTCTATTTGTCTCGCCGTAGCGATAATCGCTAAGGAGCCGACCTCCTTGGAGGAGGAAATAAAGGAGATCCGGCGGAGCGGCAGCAACAAAGATCTGGACTCTGCCTCAGAGTTTGAGATGTCAGACATCTTCTACTTTGCTCGGCGAGGGGTGGAGAGCATCATGGATGATGAAGTGACCAAGCGGTTTTCAGCTGAAGAACTGGAATCCTGGAATCTTCTGACACGCAGCAACTACAACTTTCATTATATCAGCCTGAGGTTGACCGTCCTCTGGGGGCTGGGCCTCCTGATCCGCTACGGTATCCTGCTGCCTCTCAGGTACAGGCTACCTTTAAAATATCAATGCTTGTCTGTGGCAGCCTCACAGTTAAGGTGGTTTTCTTTTATCTGATTGGGCACTAATGTCGGCTCAAATATGTCCAAACATACTGGAATGCTTTTTTTTTTTTTTTTCTAAAATAACCGTATCAGAGAACTTCATATGTTCACATAGGATGTAAGCAGACAGTGCCTGGGGGCCAGTAAAGTGGCTCTAAATGCTTACTAACTCAGCGTAATGAAAAGATATTAGGCTTAAGATTCCCGGTGACTCAGGACTCAGCCTGGATGGCTCGTTTCCAGTTGTCAGCTGGGAGCAAAAACAGGCCACGGCTGCACAGATGGATGCCACTCCATTCCTCTGCCCTGACTAGAATAGATCCTCTCTTTCAGGCCTTCCTTGTTAGTGGTAGGAAACCTGCACCTTTATAGCTAGTAATCCCCTGTAATTTGAATCAGCACCTTCTGCAACCCTGGTTGATTGGTTCATCCAGATTAAGTCAACCTGTTTGCTACTGCAAGTATTCCTGCCTTCCTGGAGGCTCTGTGATTAACTCATTTAAAGCCCTTTTTTGCAAGAAGGGATCAATAGATGTACTAAATGAATGTTTGAAATATATAAGCAGGGATTAATTTTGGGTTTGATGTGTCCGTCTCTATAACAGGGTAACCCTGGCCTTCACTGGTGTCGGCCTGCTGGTGTTCCTTACCTCTCTAATTGGGCTCCTGCCAAACGGAAGGTGAGGTGGATCCAGTCACTTTTGTTTGATTATAATAAATTTATGAACGCTGAGCCCAGCTGTTTCATTCTGTTTTTTTGTTTTTTTACAGGATGAAAAACCTCCTCAGTGAGAAAGTTCATCTGATGTGCTACAGAATATGCGTCAGAGCGCTGACTGCCATCATAACCTACCATGACAGGTAAAGGACCTCTTTGGGTTTTCCACATTAAGTGACGCTCAAAAAATGTACTCCTTGGTAAAATGTGAAGTTATTGACCATACATCCTGTACAATAAGGGAGCAAAGTTGTTCCTTTTTAGGATTCTGTGTCAACAGCTGCTGTGATGACTCTATTATATTTTCCTCCGTAGCTGCCAGTGCCTTACTTCATTGTAGATATTGTGTTCTTTGGTGATACATAAATGGGGTCCCATATAACCTCCAGTCAGTAGTAGGGGTGTAAATCACACTTATCATGGCGATTCGATTCAGTATCGATTTCCTGACCCAACGATTCGATTATTTTCGATACTCAGGAATAAACCACCATACGATTCGATTCGATTAATTGGTTCTACTTGTTTATTTTTTTTTTACACCTTACAGGCTAGACAATGTTTCAAATTTGAAATAAATCAATGAAAGCTGCAATAACGTTATGCCTTTTTTTTTTTTTTTTTAGAAACAACAGCAAATAACAGAAGTAGAGAAGTTGCACTCCACCTATTCCTATTAAAACCTCATTCTCTGAAAAATAATAATACCCCTGCGCAATAGATTCTAAAAGGCCTTGCATAAAAAAATACTGCACATCAGTGCAATGAGTGCAATGCAATACCTCGGCTCCAGAGTGTTGACGTCCCCGCCCCCTCCACAGACGCTCCGCTGCACCTCTCCCAAATTGTAGCTGACCGCAGACAGTGCAGCAGACAGGAGGCCGGCTTGTTTTGTTTTTTATGACCGAAATTGCGGAAAACAACTCTTGAAGTTGGACCAGCTAGAAGAGCGAGGTGCGCGAGAACGCTGGGACCCTTTTTCCACCTGGATCTCCGCTCTTTTTGACCCTCATGTCCCTCCGTTGACGGACAAACTCGCCCCCACTTCCTCATTGCCTTGGCTTTATCTAGACCCACAGCTAATAGCACAGACCACACTTCCATATTGAGCATAAATAAAAAAAATGTTTGTCAAGCTCACTGCAACACACTGCTGCAGGAGTATAACCAGGAAGCGAGGTAGGAGGGCAAAATAGGTTTACCGCCATCGCAGCACGGGAGGGAGAATTACGCCCAGGAGCAAAAGGATAAAAATAGACCGGAGGGAAAAAAAAAACATGAATCGATTCTCTTGTGGACGTATCGATGCATCGGATCGTCGGCTGTTGGATCGATGCATCGATACAAAACGATTATTATTTACACCCCTAGTCAGTAGTAGTTGTGTTTCTATTACAAATATGTGCAAAACTGTTTATATTCTGCTTATTTAGTAAATGCAAACTTTTGCAATTGCCATATTTTTCCCTTAAATAAGTAATGCATCAAAAATTGCCCATGAATATGTTTGTTCACCTGATAACTACACAAACAACATGGCAGCAGTGGATGTAAACTCATGACATGTATCCATATTTTAACCACGGCTGTAGTGCTCATCGCTTATCACCATGCACTAAATGTAAAAAAATAATCCAAATATGCCGCATCATGATCCTCTATTTACGGTCTTCCTTTGCATCTTTTTCCAAAGCAGTACGGTCCAGTTACAGATCACGTAACGCCAAAAAGTGTTTCCTTTCCAGTTTTGCGGAAAATAACAGAAAAACCACCTAATCGAAATGTAAACATTTTTTAATCAAACATTTTTATTTTATGTACACAAATTGCAGATTTTCTATTCAGCAAATTTATATTCATATTAAAATTCACACAGTTGGATGGAAACACAGCTAGTGATGATGGTCTGTATTGTTTTGTTGTGTATTAATGCCTCTGTAGTTTTTTTTAATGCCTTCTGCTGACAAAAACCTTATGGCTTGAGTATAGCCGACTTGAGGAAAAAAAACACAAATCAAAAAGGATAATTTAAAACATTAATTTGTAGTAAATGTACTTATGAGTCATTCACTCACACACGACGTGTGTACATGAATTGGCTGGTAAGTTGCAGGGCTAAACCTAGAAGATGATGCTAAAAATTAATTTAAATGTATCATCAAGGTGTACTGTACATTGAAGGAGGGCATCTTTCTACATTTTGTTTTCCTAGCAGATTTCCTTCTCAGTTAAATTGTGCAGAATTTCCAATTCTATATAAAAATAGATTGAAATAGTTTTTTATATAACAGAAAACGGGTATTTTAACGTTTATTTAGAAGGACATGTATTGACTAAATGAAGCAGTCATATATTTATACATGTACAGAGGATATGTTTTTATTGAGCTTCACTGTATTTTATTACCTAGAACCTATTTACTTCTTCTTGACTTGTTTCTGGTTGCTTCTGCCTAAATAGTTGCTCCTTTTAAAAAAAAAAAAAAAAAAAAAAAAAGGCAGTGGGGGGACTTTTCAATATATAATTTAGTAAATTACTGTAAAATGTTTTAGACCAAGGAGGAGAAGAATAGGAGCTCCACTTGGATCCTAAAATGTGTCTCACATTGGGGGACCTGCTGTCTCTATCTATGTAAATTCACCTGAAAGCAGAGGTCTGGTTTTAAAATCGTAGAATTTTGACTGTGATGTAAAGCTGAGGAAAACAATTCAAGCAGTTGATTAGAATACCGTATTTTCACGACTATAAGGCGCATATAAACGTCTTTTTTTCCCCTCAAAATGTGGGGTGCGCCCTATGGTGCGGTGTGCCCTATCTGCGGACGTTGTTGAGACCACCATGAGTATATGAGAACGTTAAAGGGGGAAGTGTGGGCGTGGCTTGTGTATAAAAGAACAGGTATGTGCTTTATGCAGAACATTGTTGTCTTAACAACCCTGGAAATGGCAAAGAGACACGCCTATGAAGCCCAGTTTAAACTGCAGGCTATCAGCTACGCAGAGGAACATGGAAATCAAGCAGCTGCGAGAGAATTCAATATAAATGAATCGATGGTTCGCAAGTGGAGGAAGCTGGAAAACGAACTTCGACTGGTGAAGAAGACGCAGCTGAGTTTCCGCGGACATAAGGCGAGGTGGCCCGAGTTGGAGGAAAGACTCGAGCGGTGGATCGTGGAGCAAAGAACGAGTAGGGCCAGCTTTTCAACGGTCACTGTTCGACTAAAAGCAGTAAAGCTAGCGGAAGAAATGAAAATTGAAAATTTTCAAGGAGGTCCATCGTGGTGCTTTCGTCTTATGAAACGGTGCAATTTTTCCATCCGGACCAGGACTACAGTTGCTCAGCGACGTCTGGCGGATTATAATGAAAAGCTGGCGAGCTTCCACTCCTTCTGCAGCAAACACATCACTGACAAAGTCATCCAGCCAAGCCACATCACCAACATGGACGAGGTGCCGCTCACTTTCGACATCCCGGTGAATAACACCATGGAGAAGAACGGGACCAGCACTGTAGCGATACACACAACGGGGTATGAACGCTGTGCTTGCTGTTATTCCGGGAGGTCTGACAAAGGACCTTCAACCACTCGACATCGGTGTGAACCGGCCGTTCAAAGTAAGGCTGCGAGCGGCGTGGGAGCGATGGATGACACACTGAGACCATAGTTTCACGAAAAGTGGAAGGCAGCGCCGGGCAAGTTACGCCACAGTTTTCGGATGGATTGTAGATTAATTCAACAGCAGCCACCGCGGCGCCTCCGGGTTCACCGCGGCAGCTGGCAGGTGTTTTTTCATCTAAATAATCTAAATCTTTTTAAGTGAGAAAGTCCACCTGAAAACTTAATCATTGCAGTCAGTTCATCCAGATTATCATCCCGCCTATACTATTTCTGTCGGAGGCGCTAAGACCCCCACATACCAGCGGTGCGCCGACAGCAGGAATCCCTTCAACAGCAGCCTCTGGCCGGGTCGCCTCCTCGCGGTGAACCGCGGCGGCTAGCAGGTGTTTTTCATCTAAATTATCTAAACTGCAGGCACCAGGATAATAAAAGTGAATATATTCTGTCGGCAGGTTTCAAGTTAATTTATGCGTCAAACTGTATCAGAGGAGTAATCACAGCCCTGTGTCATCAGTGATGTGTCTCTCACGGCCAGCTCCCAGGTTTGAATAATACTTTGTAATAAATACACCTTGCAGCTATATTTGCTGTGATCAGTGGGAATAAAGTAGTTTTAATATGGTTTTTAAGTGAGAAAATACACCTGAGAGGACATGTACCTGTATATAAAAAACGCGCCCTATAGTCCGGTGCGCCTTATGTGTGTTAAATACAGAAAAGGCACACATAACTGAGACTGCGCCTTTTAGTACGGTGCGCCTTATGGTCGTGAAAATACGGTAGTTTAATTTTTTTACACAGGAAAAATGTTGAACATTGATGCTAGTTTAAAGCTTCTGCTTTTAAAGTTTCTCATCACTTTGGTCAGTGAGTCATTGTTTTGCAACAGTTTTCTTATCTTAGGTACTCTGTTTGAAAATGTTGAAGTATTAGAGATAATGTCAAGGCTTAGTAAATGAGACATTTAATTGATAAGAAGCTGTACGTGTATTTCCAATGCAGCTTCTGTTTTTGCTCCAGTGTTCCTGTCTGCTTCAGACATTGTTTCTTCTACAGCATAGCATCACTTCCAGTCAGTCAGAAAATATTTTCTTTGGCTGAAATCTAAATAACAGCTAAAACCATATATAAAAAAGAAAAAGCAGCACTCATCTAAGCAGCTGTAGAATCTTAGCAGCTCTACTTCGCCTCTGTCCAGATGTAACCAGGTGCCAGGTTTGTCTACAGTGTTGGGAAAAAGTATAAGTTCCTTTATATGGTTATTCTCCCTCAGCTGCTGTTCAAAACTTAAAAGTTGCTAGTTGTGAAATACATTTAATTGTTAGTCAGTGTGGATTTAGATACAAGAGAAAAAGCAGATTTGTGTTTGTGCAATGTGTTTTATTTTCCTTGCCAGACCCAAAAAAAAGCCGACGCAATGGAAGCTGAATGTGAAATTTACTGCGAGGTTGATGAGCTTTAAAACTAATGAAAACATTTCAGAAAAAGAATCTAATACCAGCTGTTAAACATAGTGTTGGTTGTGTGTTGATGTGGGACTGCTTCGGCACCCAGAGGACCTGCTGTAATAATGGAACCATGAACTGTGCTCTCTAGTTAATCACCTGAAGCTCGGTCATATTTAGGTTATGCAGTAGAACATTTTTTATTTTATTTTTTTAGGTTTTTGGGTTTTACATGAAAAAAATAATATCTATTGAAGCTGTTGCATATAAATAATCTTAGGTTAAACAAAAACAAGGATGTGAAAGTGTCTTTGGTTGCTTTAAATCCACAAGAGTAACCATTTCTCTCCCCCAGTTGGGAGCCACAGCAGACCTCTGCTGTTGCATAATTCCTGAGCTATGCTCAGAGAAATGTGATCCCCTGAGTATAGGAAGGAATGCAGGAAACCCTGAAGCCTGTCTCTGACTGGTGGGATCCTAGCAGGAGCCATTTTAAGGTCCTGAAAATACACCAAAAACGCTGCAGTGTTTTCTAAACCAATAAAAGGTACATTTAGATAGAAGTGTTACTAGCCCTTGGTTTGAATTGGTTTAAATTAAAGTGCGGGGTACGTTGTGTTTTAACTGTGGGTGTGATCATTAAGGGAAGTTTGTCTACATAGTGGCACATGTAACAGGATGTGGAGGAGGAAGCTGATGCTTTGTTTACTCACTGATCTGTAGCTTAGAGCAACTGGTGAGGGCGTTGCAGGTTTCACTGAAGGTTATCGAGATTACACTACATCCCAACTGCAAAATTTTAACATCCCAATTGTAATTAAATTAAACTACTGTGACCGACTGAGCGTTTCTCCTGGTCGTGGGGACTTTTCAGAATAGTCGCCTTCAGTTGCAGCCCGTTTGAATGCGGTCCTTCACAGTGGGATGCTAAAAATAATCTGCTGACATAGAAAGTGTCGCTCTGTCTCTATTTGAGATGGTAACTTTAGCTTTAAACTGCTTCCTCGGTATGTTCAAGTCCTGCTTGGACATCATGGGCTGCTTTGTCTCATGAGGATAAGGCCAAAAGCATTCTGTATGTGTTAAAAATGTTTTTTTTTTTTTTTTTTTTCAGTGAGAATAAACCGAAAAATGGAGGCATATGTGTCGCCAACCACACTTCACCCATTGATGTTATCATCCTGGCCAGCGACGGCTGCTATGCTATGGTAATTATTTGATCTACTTAGAGGAAGTCTTGAAAAATACCACCTACTACCATCTGATACCATTTTTGTTGTCAGGTTGGACAAATTCATGGTGGATTGATGGGGGTCATACAGCGGTCTATGGTTAAAGCCTGCCCACACATCTGGTTTGAGCGATCAGAAGTGAAAGACAGACACCTAGTGGCCAAACGGTAGTATTACAGCCAGTGAGCGTCTATTGTTTAATTATCAACTGGAGATGTTAAATCACATTTATCTAATCAACTCTGATTTATTGGCTCTAGATGATAACATAAAAATCTTCTTTCTTTTGAACGCTGTAAGCAGTGAGCTTTTTATAATACTTGTATTGCAGGTTGAGTGACCATGTTCAAGATAAATCTAAGCTGCCCATTCTCATTTTCCCAGAAGGTGAGTCTTTTCAGTGAGTGAATTATGAAGTATACGTAAAGTCCTGCAGGTTTCTTTTTAAATCTCATTTTGTCTTCGTTTTAATTTATCAGGCACCTGCATAAACAACACATCTGTCATGATGTTCAAGAAGGGCAGTTTTGATATTGGTGCAACTGTTTATCCTGTGGCCATTAAGGTGCCGTCTCTTTTTCCTGTTTTTGTCTTTGATGCACATGCACAATAGTGTTTTTCTGTTTTGTAAATAAAAAAAAAAGCGCAAGTATTGATTATTTCTGACATGTTCCTCGCAGTACGATCCCCGGTTTGGAGATGCCTTCTGGAATAGCAGTAAGTTTGGGATGGTCAACTATCTTCTACGTATGATGAGTAGCTGGGCCATCGTCTGCAGCGTGTGGTACCTTCCTCCGATGTCAAGAGAGGTTAGGCTCATTACATTTCATTGTTGTTTTTGAAAAAATTTAATACTCATCATTCCATTAAGCATAACATAATAAATCCATCCATGTTAGGGGTTTTGTTTTAGTAGATAAGCTTGATTCTTTAAAAAACTTGGTACTTTAATCCTAAAACAATGACCAATGTGGCAAAAGGCCCCAGATTCAGGTGTCATTTCATGTGCCTGTTTGGACCTGTTCACTTCCTGTTTGGATTAACCGAGTGTGCAGCTGTTCAGAGGATCTCCATCTGAAGTTAAGTTATTTTCTCTGTGATATCTCTGTATCTAAGTAACTCTAACTGACTACTTTAAAACATAGCACCTTCTGCTGCACTTTTCTACTGAGCACTTGTCAGTTTCACACGGTTTTATTTCTGATAGCAAGGAGTAGCTAGCCTAGGCTAGCGCTTAGCATTGCTAAGCGCTTAGCATTGCTATGGCTTCTCTCTCTCCCTCCCTTGATTCTTTTCCAACTCTTCCTTCTTCCTCTCCTCTCTCCTGCTCTCTGTGTCAGATGTTCAGTTATTCCTCTGCCTCCTTTAGTGATAATGGGATGTGTAATAAGTGTAGTATTTTTGTAGCTTTGGAGGCGAGGGTGTCAGAGTTAGAATCCAGGCTTCAGGCTGTTGAACATCCAGGAGTTAAAGTAGGCCCCCCACGTAGCTGTCCTCCAAAAGTGCCTGAGCAGCCAGGCGATTGGGTAACTGTACGCAGAAAGCGTAGTCGTGGATCTCTGCCCACTGGTCACCACCAACCCGTTCACGTTTCTAACCGGTTTTCCCCACTCAGTGACACACCCACTGAGAAGCCCACTCTGGTGATTGGCAGCTCCATAGTCAGAAACGTGGCATTAGAGACACCAGGGACCATAGTCAAATGTTTGCCGGGGGCCAGAACGGGCGACATCAAATCCTACCTGAAACTACTGGCTAAGGATAAGGTTAAATACAGTAAGATTGTTATTCACGCTGGTGGTAATGACACCCGGTTACGCCGATCGGAGGTCACTAAAATTAGTGTTGCTTCGGTGTGTAAGTTTGCCAAAAAAATGTCGGACTCCGTAATTTTCTCTGGTCCCCTCCCTGATCTGACCAGTGATGACATGTTTAGCCGCATGTCGTCATTCAACCGCTGGTTGTCTAGGTGGTGTCCTGAAAACAACGTGGGCTACATTAATAATTGGCAATCCTTTTGGGGAAAGCCTGGTCTGATTCGGAGAGACGGCATCCATCCCACTTTGGATGGTGCAGCTCTTCTTTCTAGGAATCTGGCCACATTTATTAGTCCTCCAAAACCCTGACCACCCAGGGTGCAGACCAGGAAGCAGAGTTGTAGTTTAACACACATCTCTGCAGCTTCTCTACTGTTACCCACTCTTTACTCCATCCAGACAGTGTCTTGCCCACGACCAAAATCTAATAAATTAGCAAAGATTCCCAAAGGAGTAAATCATGATAATCTAATTAAAATCAAAATAACTCCAATTGGGGAAAAAGTTAAAACAATTAAATGCGGTCTGTTTAACATAAGATCGCTTTCCTCTAAAAGTCTACTAGTTAATGACTTGATTTGTGATAATCACATTGACTTGTTTTGCCTTACAGAAACCTGGCTGCAGCAAGAGGATTATGTGAGCATAAATGAGGCAACTCCTTCAAGCTATTTAAATTTTCACATCCCCAGAAGTTCTGGGCGAGGAGGAGGAGTAGCAACAATCTTCCAGTCTGACTTACTGATTACTCCCAAAACAATTAATACCTACAACTCTTTTGAACATTTAACCCTTAATTTCCCTGATCCAAATTTCAAGGCAAGAAAACCTCTTCTTTTTGTAACTTTGTATCGTCCACCAGGTCCTTACTCTGAATTTTTAGATGAGTTTTCAGAGTTCCTTTCTGATTTGGTATTAAATACTGACAGGGTCATCATAGTGGGAGATTTTAACATCCATGCTGACATTGAAGGCGATAGCTTAAGAGCAGCCTTTAATGCTATCTTAGACACTATTGGCTTTGTTCAAAATGTGAATAGTCCCACGCATTCTCATCTTCATACTTTGGATCTTGTGCTGACATACGGCATAGAATGTGAAGAAATAACAGTATTTCCTCACAACCCTGTCCTCTCTGACCACTTTCCAATAACCTTCAGGATTACTTTAACAGAGTTCTCCTCCCCCAAAAGAAGGTTCAATTTTAGTAGATCTTTATCAGATAGTGCAGTTATAAATTTTAAAGAATCTGCTTCACTTTCTCTCTCCTCTGTGTCACTGAGCAGTGCTGCAGAGTGCAAAAGCTTAGCTTATTCCCCTTCACAGGTTGATGATTTTGTTGATGGGGTTGCTAGTTCTCTGCGTATTGCCTTAGACAACGCAGCTCCTTTGAAAATGAAAACCGTTAAAAATAGAAAGCTTGCTCCTTGGTTTAATGCAGAGCTGCGTACTTTGAAGCAAAATGCTAGGAAACTGGAGAGAAAATATCGCTCCACAGGCCTGCGAGAGTCCTTCCTAGTCTGGAAAAATGGTTTACTGCTGTATAAGAGGACTCTTTGTAAAGCAAGAGCAGCATACTTCTCCTCATTAATAGAGGAGAATAAGAATAATCCTAGATTTCTTTTTAATACAGTTGCCAAACTCACCCAGAGCCATAGCTCTGTTGAACCGTCCATTCCACCTGCTCTTAGCAGCAATGATTTTATGGGATTCTTTATAAATAAGATTGATCTTATTAAAAATAAGATCATAAGCACTCCTCTATCCGCGATTGTACCTGAGGTAGTCATGGAATCTGAACCGGGTTTAGACTGCTTTGATCCAGTTGAACTCTCTGAATTAGCAAAATTATTGTCTTCATCTAAGCCTTCAACTTGTATGTTAGATCCAGTTCCAACCAGGTTATTTAAGGAGGTATTCCCTTTGATCTCCTCCTCCATTTTAGATGTGATTAATCTATCTCTGTTACAGGGATATGTACCTAAAGCTTTTAAGGTTGCTGTAATTAAACCTCTGCTTAAGAAACCGTCTCTTGACCCAGATGACTTGGTCAATTATAGACCTATATCCAATCTTCCTTTCTTATCCAAAATTCTTGAGAAAGTAGTTGCCAAACAAGTTTGCGATCACTTCCACCATAATGAACTTTTTGAAGAGTTTCAGTCTGGCTTTAGAGCTCATCATAGCACTGAAACAGCTCTGGTGAAAGTCACTAATTATATTCTCATGGCCTCAGATAATGGACTTGTATCTGTGCTCATCCTGTTGGATCTTAGTGCTGCATTTGATACAGTTGACCATAATATTCTTTTAGAAAGACTTGAATATTTTGTTGGAATTAAAGGAACAGCACTAGACTGGTTTAAATCTTATCTATCTGATCGAATTCAGTTTGTTCATGTTAATGATAGATCTTCAACACGCTCAAAGGTTACCTGTGGAGTACCACAGGGATCAGTGCTAGGACCAATTCTCTTTACTTTATACATGCTCCCAATTGGTAGAATTATTAGACAGCATGGGATTAATTTCCACTGTTACGCTGATGATACCCAGCTATATCTGTCTATAAATCCAGATGAAGCTAACCCATTACATAGATTACAGGCATGTCTTGAAGACATAAAAACCTGGATGACTCTTAACTTTCTGCTCCTGAATGCAGACAAAACAGAAGTTATAGTCTTTGGACCAGAGTCTCTGAAAAAGAAACTGATTAGCCAGTCACTTCATTTGGATGGGATTAAACTGATTTCAGATAATAAAGTAAAAAATCTTGGTGTTATTTTTGATCAGGACCTGTCATTTAAATCCCATATCAAAGAGGTTTCTAGAATTTCCTTCTTTCATCTGAGGAACATTACAAAAATTAGAAATCTCCTGTCCAGGGGTGATGCTGAGAAACTAGTCCATGCATTTGTTACTTCAAGGCTGGACTATTGTAATTCTTTACTATCAGGAAGTCCACAAACTGTAGTTAAAAGCCTTCAGCTGATCCAAAATGCTGCAGCCAGAGTTCTGATGAAAATTAAAAAGAGAGATCATATCTCTCCTATCCTGGCTTCTCTTCATTGGCTTCCTGTTAAATCAAGAATAGAATTTAAAATCCTCCTTCTCACATATAAAGCCTTAAATGGCCAAGCTCCATCTTATATCAGAGATCTGATTGTTCCTTATGTTCCTAACAGAGCACTTCGCTCTCAATCTGCAGGTTTACTAGTGGTTCCTAGAATTTCTAAAAGTAGAATGGGAGGCAGATCTTTTAGTTATCAGGCTCCTCTCCTGTGGAACCAACTACCAGTTTTAGTCCGTGAGGCAGACACCCTGTCTACTTTTAAGACTAGGCTTAAAACTTTCCTTTTTGATAAAGCTTATAGTTAGGGTGGCTCAGGTTATCCTGAGCTATCTCTATAGTTATGCTGCTATAGGCTTAGACTTTTGGAGGACATAGGGACCCCCATTTCATCATTCTGCTTCATTCTCTCTCTGTTCTCCTATTCTGCAGAATCTGTTAGTTCAATCTCTAACCTTCTGTTCTCTCTGCTTTTCCTCAGAGTAGCTTTGCCTCGTCTGTTCCTGTTTGGCTGTGACGTCATCCTGGAAAGAAACATCAGCTGTGCTGCTTCTATCAACACCCTTGTTTATAGATGTTGGAGATCGGCCTGTTTTCCAGTGTGGTCCTGTTTCTCTGACCGTGACTGAGTGGATGTGCTCTCTTCGTCCTCTGGCATGGGAGCTGCCTTGGAGCTCGTCTGCCTGGCTGCGTGTTTCCTGGACGGGGCCGCCTTTTACAGCTGCTTTTTGTATCTCTGCTTCTGTCTCCTTGAACCCCAGTCGGCCTCAGCAGATGGCCGCTCACACTGAGCCTGGTTCTGCTGGAGGTTTCTTCCTGTTAAAAGGGAGTTTCTCCTCTCCACTGTCGCTACAAGCATGCTTAGTGTGGGGGATTGTATTTGAGTCAATGAGTCAATGCAATCAACTGGTTTTCCTTAGATAGAAAACTTTGTATCAATTTGACTGTATGATCTGGTTGAACTGTAAAGTGCCTTGAGATGACATGTGTTGTGAATTTGGCGCTATATAAATAAACTGAATTGAATTGAATGTAGTCATGTCACCTGCTTATAAACCTAGTGTCTGTGTACATCAGATAGTAAATCCTTGTTTTTTTTTCTGGATGGTCCTTTCTGACAAGCTGCAGTGAGTTAGCTCTGTATTTGAACAGAGAAACATGGCCTCAAGTTTAGCATTGCAATATTTATACATGTTTATATTCCTTACATTTATACATGTATTTATAAATCCCTCCACAGGGGGGAGAGGATGCCATGCAGTTTGCCAATCGTGTAAAAGCAGCCATAGCCAGGAAGGGGGGACTCGTTGACCTTCTGTGGTAAGATGCAACTTTCACACATATCTAGGGAAGCCAATAAATAAATAATGATCAGGACAAATTATTTTGACCATTTCACCTTGAAGTCTGTTGTACCCTCTGCAAGTCCAGTTTAAAAGTCATCCATCCATTTCCTACATGCTAATCCCTACTGGGGTTGTGAGGGTTGCTGGTGCCTATCTCCAGCTGTCTACGGCCGAGAGGTGGGATACACCCTCGTCAGGTCGCCTGTCTATCACAGGACCACAAAGACAAACAACCATTCATACTCGCACCTATAGAGAATTTAGAGAAGCCAAATAATCTAACAGTCAAGTCTTTGGACTGTGGGAGAAAGCTAGAGTACCCAGAAAGAACCCATGCATGCACAGGGAGAACAAGACGCCGAGCCGGGAATAGAACCCAGAACCTTCTTGCTGCAAGGCAGCAGTGCTACCCACTGTTTTCCTCTGTGCAGCCCAGTTTAAAAGCCTTAATAACGAATTTGGACGGCATTAAGAGCGTCCATTGAAGGAGGCATGGGGCTGTGATTCTAAACAGATCATTATAAAAACTAAAGTAAATGCATTGTTGTTTTCACGACAAAATAATTTTATTGACGCTCTTTTTTTTTTTTTTTTTTCATGACAATAAGGAAAACTGGCGAGCTAAACATGGATCTTTGATGACTAAAACATGAATAGTCATTGCTTTGAGTTTTTGTCAAAAAGAGACTAAATAAAAATTGGCGGGTGGTCGGTCAGACGTTTAAACTGCATCATTATGCTGTACTCTGCAACCATATTGGTGCGTCTTGATTGATCCGGCCGCCCACATGGCGTGCAGCGCTACACATTCTGCAGGACCACAGATGGGTCCTGGCAGCAGCGGGGTCGGAGAAAATAACCCGGAATGGTCCAGTACTGCTCGCTCAAACTCTGAGGTATTTTGCACGCGCGGAGCTCGGAGTCTGTGCTTCACGTTGCACTCTGATGGTTCCCCCCTAAGCAGTATGGCTCTTCCTAGTTTCGCTACTTCATAAAGTATGTAGCTGATCAGCCTCTGCCAAGCGTAAAAAATCCCTTTGTCCAACTATCAATATTTTATTTCCTCCAGCTCACAAGAAGTGATACAAAAAATTCTTTATTTTTTACCAAAAGGAGTCCCTAAATTATATCCAAATAAAATATTTATTTTACATTCTCTTTATGTTTGGATAAAAAGAACAAGGTGAAAAGGTACATTGATGTTTAAATATTTTTCTCTCTGAGGGTTCTTGTTTCTATCTTTGTAAATATTATGTAAATACTTCCTTGTATTGTCATTGAAACATTTTCTCTGTTTCCTTTGAATATTTCAACATTTTAGTTAACGTATTCATTTCGTATTTCGGTTCTGGATTGGCATGCCATTACAAGGCAATTATAAAGGTTCTTTCTGTGTTTATTTTTTATATATCAGACCCCTGTGAATTTAAATCTACTTTGAACCCTTGGCAGTCGTAACAAAGGGGTAAATTCTCAGAAATAAAGCCAAAATGGCCAAAGTAGAAAGAAGAATGTTTTAGTTCTTTGCTTTTTTGGAGCAATGAACATTTTATTGATCTGTGTGTAATTCATAATTCATAGTAGATCACGAAGTGTTTGCTTTGGGATGGAAACATTGTATGTCTGAAACCATTCCTTTATTGTACATTTTGTTCGCTTTTCTGTTTGCTATATTAACCAATATGATGTGTTGAACTAGATCTGCTATTTCACAGCTTTTGTGAGACTTCTTTAAAAAGTAGGTCATCCATCTATCCATCCATCCATTTTCCATTACTCTTATCCCAAGCGGGGTCGCAAGGGGTGCTGTTGCCAGCTGTCTACACTCTGGCAAGAGCCTGGACAGGTCGCCAGCTCATCACAGGGTGGCATTAATTCATTAAAAAATGTTTATTTGAATTCTATAAATCAAAGTTTTTCTGCCAAACAGCAATGATGACCTGCACGGCAGCATTCTATACCCAGCTATTGTAGTATCCAGGCAAGAACTGTCAGTCTGGTAAAGAATCTGGTTGTTATTCGAAATTATAAAGGTTCACTTTTTTTTTTTTGCAACATAAAACTGACTAAAACTAGATCACATACCATAATGACTAGAATGTAACTAAGACTAATAATAGTTTAAAGACTAAGACTAAATCTGAGATGGCTGTCAAAAACAACACTGAGTAAATGTAAAACTTTTTTTTTTTTTTTCAAATTTTAACTAAAAGTATAGTTTTTCCCTTAGGGTTATTAAGATTATATATCGTTATCTGCAATAGTTTCTATTGGTACTTTCATACACACTATTTTAATAATGTTTCTGCTGCCCTGCGATGGACTGAATCTTTATCACTCTGCTAGCTAGCAGTCCTTGCTTGTAAGCTGTAGTTTCAATGACACTAGGTTTTAATTAGAGTGACGAGTGATTGTTAATTAGACATAAAAATCTGGTCATAATTAATAGCTGAAGTGTTTTTTACTTTGAAAATAAATAGTTGGAGGAAAATTTTCTCATTTAAAATGAAATGAGTGATTTTCCGCCCAACCCTTTGGAAAAGCCCAACAAACTGAACAGTTGGACAGTGTTTCTCTTAATTGCATTTGTATTAGAGTCCTGCACGGGTCGAGTTTTACCAACCCGCACCCGCCTGAACCCGTTAGGATGACTACCGAACCCGACCCATCACCCGCGGATATCTTCAATTCAAATCTGAACCTGACCCGACCCGTTGATGTTTAACCCGCAACCCGACCCGGTAACACATCAAGTAATAGGCTATAGTATGCTGCGCTGCAGAACAGCGCCATTAACACTGCAGCAGACGTGTATGCACTGACTGTGGCCTTTTTTGAGGGAAGCCCACACTGCCGGCAGGGCTTTAAGCTACAACAAGGGTGACCCATAGTGCCTGATTAATATAACATTTCTGATGTCCATAACAACAAACGCATAAAAAAAAAAATCAACTACCTGTCCGCACTAAAAAAATATCCATTTATTTTTATTTATGTATTTTATGTATTTATTATTTTATGTATTTATGTATTTTTCACCGACCCGTTGCAGGACTCTAATTTGTATAACTTAAGTATACATTTTTGTTTTCAATCTTTAAAATGAATCACAAGAATTTGAATTTGTAATCTATAACACCAATAACAGAATATAAAAAACCTTTTGATCAATCCATAGTTATATCTCCTATAGGTACATAAAAAAAAGAATGTGGTAATAAGTTATATTTGATCCCACTTTTTAGAAATTTAATCTATTTTCAATGTAAAGAAAATTAAATATTTAAATTGTTAGTTAAATTGTTGATTATTGCTTACCGATAATTAAAATCCCAAGTAGGTTTATATGTTCTGTATGTTTATTTTTCTGTGAAGGACAATCAAAAGTTGAACATTTCAGAAGTCTATTTCTATATGATCATGAAACTCAAATCACAGCCGTTCATGTAATCATGTGTAGTAATTTAACATGAGTACATTCATCAACTAGTCCGTTTTGGATATTTGCTTTTTTCTGTAAGGACAACAAACCATAAACTTGTTGAAGTTCTCCCCTTATGTCATTAAAATACAGCAGATCTGATCTACTTAATTATCCTGTAGCTAAATCTAACTGCCCTTTGATCATTTTGCAGGGATGGAGGTTTAAAGCGAGAAAAGGTAAAGGATACCTTTAAAGAAGAGCAGCAAAAGCTTTACAGCAAAATGCTTGTAGGCACTCAGGAGGACCGCAGCCGCTCCTGAGGCCCCTTCATGGAGGCGGACTGACTCTGAGATAGCTCTGGGCTTCCCCTGACCAAGCATGCAGCAGCAGTGGTCCGTCACTGTGGAACAGCTGGACTGGATTCTTCTCTCCTCGATGTCAACAGAACTTTGGCTTCTCCAGTCACAGCCTCAGCATGTTAAGTTGCATCACTGTTGTGGGCTGTTCTGCCCTCTGTTGGAGTAGCTTGATAAAGGCCTTGCTAGAAAAAGAAAGTTTGGCAAAAAAGGGAACGCCTTCCTCTTTCAATTTTTATGTACGGGCAAAAACAAATGGTCTCCTATATTTGACTCCTGTCTTTGTTTTGTCGTCTGAACTCACTTTTTCCAAAGCTTTTTGCATCATCTTTAGCCGAGGTTACAGAAGTAATAACACTTGGATTGTAGTAAAGAGATAACGTAGACTAAATCTAGCTTGTTTTAAACCTGAAGCAGAGTTGTTTTGTTTAATCTTGGATAGTTCCTCCACCGTAGGGCAAAATGCCAAACTTTGTTACATTTCAAATATTTTTATGTTCTGTTTTTTTTTTTCCAGACTGATGAAACACATCTTGTATGGAAGATATTTATTTTGCTCTGCAAACTTGTTTCATGACTTGATTTTCATTTAGAGCTACATTGCAGAAAAGCTCCCTGTTGAACGTGTGTTTTCCATGGAGTGTGAGAGACCTCACAATATGAAGTGGAAACAGTTCCTGTTATGCAGGAGTATTGATTTTAAAGCAGATGCTCCTCTTTAAACCGACGCTGCAACAAAACTGGAGTAAAAGAAACTCACATTCTTTAATAAAGTATTTGGCTTTAGAGATGTGTCTTAAAGGCTCATTGCACCAAGGAAACTGCATATGATAAACACCCATAACAGAAATGCAAACGTAAGTAACAAGCTGAATTCTGTCTAAATACACGCCCAACCAGACCTGTTTTTGTGCAGTTTCTCTATTGCCTCATCTACTTAAAGCTAAAGCTTTTGTCTTTATTATCCTCTAATTGAAGATGTTGTTTTCCTACTTGGCAACCTCAAGGTCTCTGGAATGCAGTGCAGCTGTAGTTTGGGGCTTTACATCAGGCTAGGAGGTAGCACCGTGGGTACACCATGGGTACAGGTTCCCCCCTGAAACAATCTTAGTTTGTTATCAGGGACAGTCCTTTAGATGCTGTCAAATCATTTCATTAAAATATATGTTGAACTATGAGTCTGGTGTTTTTTTTGGGTCATGTTACCCTCCAAGGGCTATGAGTCATGTTAACAGAAATAAACCGCTACACTGTGGACACTCATCCATCCTCTGCTGGTCTGTCAGGGTCACAGGGGGCAGGCGCCTACCTCCAGCAGTCTGGATGAGAGACAAGAACATAAACCAGACACCCAGAAAAGTAAATAGTTCAGCTAACTGCTTTAGCTGAGACTTATATGACATGGTTTCATTCCTTAAGTAGAGATAATGTCTCCTAAATAGATTAATAACTGCAGTGGCCGATTGAATATCTTTTAATAATAAAAAAAAATTATTCAGATAAATAGTCTTAATAAGATTTCAATGAAAATGTGAAAACATGTTTATTCTCTGGAAAGCAGGTTTAAATAAATAGAGCATCAAAAGATTAGCTTGTATCTAGCCAATTATCCACATATTTATTCAATCTAGTCATAATTACACTTCTATTCTTATTTTGTGCTTAAGCATGACCTAAGTAAAAATTTACATTTAATTCACATATTTTCATTAGCTCATTAAAAATTTTAATTGTCTCATTTCTTCCTCACCAAAAGGTAAAATCGAGATATTTCTGACATAGTTTCAAGTTAAAATACCTATATTAAATTAAGGCAACGTTTGGGAAGGGAAGAGGAATGCATCAGATGTGGTCCTGATGTCAGAAAATACAAATTATAGCGTATTTTGTTGAGTTTCACTAGATTAGTCAAGAATTTTTGAATGGAATACATTTACTCCATATGTTTGTAGAATGAATTGTTTGACCAAGGTTTGAGCTTAGTGCACCCTTTTGATTTGTTATTCTAACACCCAGCTAGTTTGTGCACAAAACAATATCAGTCTGAAAGTTATTTGATTAAATACCATATTTGCTTCCTGCTCTGGGGTTGGCATTAATTATAAAGTTATTAAATAACATAGAGTTCCTGTGTTAGCATTGTATATAAAACTCCCTTTAAAGTTCAGAACCAATGAGCAGTTAAACAGTGATGCAGTGACTGAATCCATCTGGTTTATTTTCTACAAAGTAGAGCTAATTTTAGTTACTGCGATTTTCCACATTCTTCTTGGTTCTATATCTTAGTTTCTCTGTTTCATGCATTACAGACTCGTTACAGAAGGAGAAGTCACCGCATGCTGATTTAACTGGATGTGACCTGGGGAGTTTTTTTAAACACGTCTTTTCAGAATACATAACATGAAAAAACTATTTTATTTTGTTTACTTCCCCACAGAGGAAGAACTAGATAACAAAGGGGATAAGTTAAAAACACTAGAACAGTCTACATAACATGCAATCCTCCCACAGAAACAGAAATGCATTCATAATCAGTACCATAGTTATCTTTTTTTTTAAAGAATCCTTCATGGAAATGAGCATCACATTTAGCATGCCCTGGAGCAAACTGGAAATACATAAAATGAGTTTTGCAGAAGGCGTTCTCAGCAGCCTCCATCAGAATATCAGGTGTGTGCACATGTGTGCATTTCTGAGTCATTTCTGATGTGTTTCTTGATTCATGTTTTGTTTTGCCAATAAAATTATGCACTGCATAATTCCTAGACAGTAATATAAGGCTCTTTTTAAATAAAGCTTATTTTCAATGACTTAGAATATAATTTAAAAGCTATACCAGTAATCTGATTCAAGCTGAGGCCTTTTATTTTGTTTCTTTGAATCATCACACACAGAGCTATAACTTTGAAATGGTTTTATTAATTCTGATGATTATCGCTCAGTTATTTTTAAACTCAGAATTTACTTTCTTTAACAATTTGATATTGAGTTACATGCAGTGTTTTAGTGCAAACATTCCCCTCCCTTTCCTCCTGTGATCGGAAAATCAATTTCCTATTAATTGTCCTTAACCCTTTAATGCCAAATTTATCATATTTGATACATACGGCTTCTGAAATGTTTTGCGTCTGACACCTTTTGCATAATTTAATGGTAAAAACTTTGCTCAAAATCCTATTGTACACAATCAGATATACCTGATAACAGAGGGCAGAAGACAACCGGTACACAAAACATAATCTTGACTTATCGCATAGTAATAAATTATTAATATCAAAAATGTATTTCTGTTTTTCTTTTTACACATTTTGTTAAAAGGCCAAATAAGGACTTCAAACAAAAAAAAAAGTAATTTTCTGTTTTGTTTTATTCTTCGATCGGGCTTTAAAGGGTTAAATCTATTGATTTATCAGTGCTGTTTTTCATAAGTACAGACAAAAATCAGCACTGATAAATTGATACATGTAAGGGGAATTAATAAGAAACTAATTTTTTTCCGACCACACTCCCCAGCCCATGTTGGTGCTTGTAACATTTCTGGTTTAGGAGTGGCTTAGCAAAAGGAATGCATCAACTGTCATCCATGTTCAGTAGAGGTCAAGGACAGGAACTCTTTTAAATCCAATTCCTCCTGCCATCCACAATTCGTAAATGTCCTGGTTTTCCTGTGTTGCAAGCAGGTTTTTATACTGTTCTTTTTCTTTCCACTCAACTTCCCTTTATGCTTAAATACAGCAACAGTGCACAGTCAGCCCATTTAGCAATGACTCTTTATTCTTATTGTTGTCTATTGTAGCATTCCTTCCCCATAAGAAAACTTTCAGTTTGCATCTTTTGTAAGCAATAAACATAAAATAAAACAAAATTAAGTATAATGACTGATTCCTCAGGCAAAATGCATTATATAAAATAAAAAATGCAAAAACGTAAAATAGAAATAAATAGAATAAAAATATGTGAGGGAAAAAAGTTTGAGTCAGGTTTGGTGTGTAGCCTATCTGGCAGCAGCATCACCATACGGTTAGCCAAGTAACAGATAATGGAGTAGATCTACTTTATATAGATTCCAGGTGTAAAATATTCACTCTGAATACTTTGCTGTGTGTAGAAAATCTTGAAATTTTATAATATGTATATTTTTTCATTTGTCTTGCTGTAATAACCAATTTTTTGTTCATAATGTACAAGATACATTGGTTCCAATGTGACTTGTTGGTAATCTTTTTATTAAGCCTGCATATATATAGACCTAACTATTATTATAAATATTTTTTAGGTCTATTATCATATTTTCAGCTAAAATTTCTTTTTCATTTTGCCTTACAGTGCTAATTCAGATACCAATCTTAAAGCTCTCACAGGTGCAAAGAGGAGAACTATTCTCCAACTATACGGCATCACAAACCTGCTGCTATGAAAGAGCAGGAGCATAGAAAATAAAAATAGAAGCTGGAAGTTGCACGGTGGACGATAAAGGAGCTGCAGCTGCATAGGCACGCATGCACCTATTCCACAAAGTGCAGAGAAACACGCATTTCCATCCATCCATCCATCCATCCATTTTCATTGTCCTCTTTTTTTCCTTAATTTGTTTTAAACTGAAAATATAAAAACAAACAACAAATCTCATTGTTTAATGAAAAACAAAACACTTAAATCTGGTTTAATGTCGCAGCGTTTGTATCAAACCCAAACTAAACGAAAATCATTACACTGTGGTGGGAAAAATAAATTATGCAACTGAATTACTAAATGTTCGGTTCACTTGAAAACAGCTGGCTTGGCCTTGTGGAGAGCATCAGAGGAGCACCAGAACTGATAGGAAGACTGCTGAAGCTAAATGCACCAAGTCCTGTTTAAAGTAACTCACGCAAACCATTACAATTAATATCACACTTGAAAGAAGTTAAAATAGCTATGAAAACACTAAACTGCCAACAAATAACACAAAACCACAACGTGACTTCCAGCGAACAGCGAGGCAGTTTTATAAGATCTGTTATCTCTAAAAATATAACCATAGTAACAGTTTCTGTTTGATTAGTTTGTGAGAACCTTCTCCTTTTCCGATGTCTCTTAATGTTTTAAAGAAAAAACACACATGCAGTCTTTGAAGACATCCAAACATGTCAAACCAGTTTTACTAGCATAATCCATTGGAGTCGGTAGAGCTATAAAGCACTCCTGTGAACTAAAGGTAATAGATCTATGCCATCCAGTGGTTCACAATAAAAGGCTGTAAAGCAAAAGACTGTTGGGTCTTGACTTTGTTTCTCCATAGTGCTCTTACTGAGCTGCAAACCATGGAAGGAGTTACACAACCAACCTTTAGAGCTCTTTTTCTTGCTTCCTCTCACCCCTCTTACAAACTCCTTGTGCTTTTATTGATCAACATCAGCAGATTTATTTGAAAACAACCATTGCAGAAAAAATGCTTAAGAAAAACATTTCCATGAGTATAACTGACTTGGGGAAGAAAATGTGCATAGTTGGTGTATTCCACCCAGAACAGGCCTGAGTTTCAGATGAACCACACCTCCATAAAAGGACATAGATTCTCAGGAAAACATTAAACATAATCCCAGCCTGTCACAACCAATGCGTGACACTTTATACACTGTAATGATTTGATACCAACTACACAACAGTTCAGAGAAGAAATGTGTACAAGAATAGCGGGGAAAAGAAATAAATCTAAATTCAATATTTAATTATTTAGAATATTATTGAATAGCCTATTTAATTTATTTCTACTGAAAAGGTGAAACACAAATAGGATACATTAATTCCCCACAGACCGATAGACTACATCCACAGAACAAATGTATCAATTGAACAGAAACCCACTCATTTTCTATTGATGATTGTCCAAAGTGAAAGTTACAAGAACTGATTATGAAATAAAAACTAATTTAGTTAGTGGGGTAGTAATAGAATAGAAGAGAATAGAATAGAATAGAATAGAATAGAATAGAATAGAATAGAATAGAATAGAATAGAATAGAAAATAGAAAAAAAACTTAATTGTCTACCATACACAATGATGGCAGAAATGTGCCTTTGGTTTACTCACCACACAACAATGTTATAAAAATACATTAAAATACAATTATAAAAGAGTTCATTGCGGACACAGCAGCAGCAGCAGATTCACTTCATCAAGGAGAGGGAAGCAGAACAGACCGAGTTATATTTACAACTTGTTCAGCTCCTTTATGGCAGAGGGCACAAATAATTTCTGTACGCATTTTTCTTAGAACAAGGAATCTTTGCCTCTGCAGTGATGGAAGGAGCTCAATGTGACAAGAAAGTGGATGGCTATCATCATCTGTGGTCTTATGACTAACGTGATGCACTGCTTTACTGTAATGCTGAAATCGTAATGATTAATGCAGACAGACAAACACAAATCAAAATAACTTTTTGCCATCAGAGCCCGTAGTAATTCACACATTCACCGCCCTTGATTCTGGTTTCCGTGGTCCTCTCAACATAGGAACTTTGTTTTATTTATTATGCACTAAATCAGTAAATGGGCCATATAGTAAAGCTTAGAGTATGATGTTCTTGCCTCAAACAATCTTAAAATGTACTTTTATAGAACAACAGCAACCGACATGGTGACATAGCAACCGAAAGTGAACTTTTAACGTAATACTCTGAGCTCTGTAGGCATTCCTTTGGAAGCTGCTGCTGCCCCAGTGCATGCTGGGACAGCTGTCCGTCTGAAGAACGCACAAGTCTGCATTAAATAGTTATTTATCTATGGTTTCACTGAAGACTCCTATGACTTTAATCTTTACCCCTTAAAACACAAAATGTATTTCGTTACAGTAATGAATTAGGGGTGAAGAAAAAAATCGATTTGAGCTCATATCGTGTTTATAACATTTAAAGATTCAGAATCGATTCTCATTTTCTTTAAAAAAAAAATTTGTGGGTGCAGATGTGCCTTATCAGGCACCGTAGTGTTTGGCGAAACCGATGAGCAGCGTGAGCTACAGTATGCACAGGCATGCAAGTGTTAGCCTAGCTGGCTACAGAGTGGTGTGTAGTGTTGTGTGAGCTACTGTGTTTCTTGTCGCTAAAGTATGGAGGACGAAGAAAAATAAATTCAACCGCCTCCCTGGTCTTTAAAAGCAACCATTTGGAAACACTTTGGATTTTACCTTCAAACCCGGCTCAGGTAAGAAAGGGCTTGACATGACTCATGCGATTTGCAGAGATTGCAACGGTAAAGTTAAGTATTTTGGGAGTACTTCAAATCCCCGTTCTCATCTCGAAAGACATCACCCAGAGTTGTTGGTAGAATTGGATAAATCCAAGACATGTTGTCTTGGATTTACTTTTTGGTATTTACATTATTGCAATAGGTAAATAAAACATTTAGAATTATAAAGTCTTTATAAATGTACTCTTCTGTCATGCCAGCAGACTGGAATAGATCCAGAGAATTGTTTTGAATAGTAAATTAATCGTCTCTGAATCGAATCGTTTGGATTTAAAAGAATCAGGAAAAAAATCGAATTGTGACCCCAAGAATCGATTCTAAATTGAATCATGGGAATCCCAAAGATTCACAGCCCTATAATGAAGTATTTGTACTTCCTTACTTGATACCTTTGGCCACAGGGGTGGCCAATGGTTGGCAAAGGGTGGCCATGGCCCCTATCTAGCTCCGCCCCTGGCTGCAAACATTAAAACAGTGTGAAAGCGGCGCGTGTGAATCTATAAAGCCTGTATCTCGTCTGGTTTGTTTGAATTCAAACTATAAGGCAGGTTTCCGCTGCATGAGGGCGGAGCGTCCTGTCACAACAATCAGTCAGCTTCCTCCGGGTTGTAGGAGCACTTCTGAGGGCTACACTGGTTTAGTCTCTTAAGAAGCTGCTAGTCCAATTAACCCAGAGGGGGAGGAAATCCACGCATTTAAAGTCGCCGCTCGCGGCGAGGAGTATGAGCCCTACCGAGGTGTATGATGACATGAACCGACAGCCCGCTATCAACTGCACAGGAGTTGGACCGCGAGCGGCGCGCGCGCAGTGACATGAGAGCGGCGTTCTTCACTTCCAACCGCAGCTGGTTATAAACGTATTTTCCTTGCTTGTTGTATTTTAAGCTGGTTTAAGCTCCACCAGAGACGCTACAGTCAGGCGGACTTTTTTTATTTTTATTTTTAACAACCTCAAAGTGTCCGCCTCAACATGGACACCTTCACCGATGTGCTGCTCGTCACCGCAAACGTCGGTTCGCTCTTCAACAATGTAAGTATCCGACAGACAGACGGACGGACAGGCAGACAGGTAAAACTGCAGGAATAAGCGCGGAAGCGGAGGATTAGGGCTGAAAGAGAAACAAGTCACACACTATTATTTTACACCTTAAAGGACTTCAATGCTGCCATTTTTCTAGGGTGAGGATTTGACAGGCGCTTTAATTGTTCTTCTGTGGGTGTTGAGTTGTGTAATTCACGTGTAATATGCGGTTAAATCCCCTCAGTGAATGGGGATTGTTACAGCAGAGCTCTGCTGGTGTTCTTCCGCTATCTTAAGCAACACTCAGGCTCATCATCCGTCTTTACCTGTTAGTGACTGACGTTACCCGATCCATGTTCAACTGCAGTCAGACGGGATATGCCCAAATATGGAGAGGCAGTTCCCAGAAGTCCACAAATAGGCCAAAAATAGTCAGGATCTTTACGCCGAAAACTTTAATATAGGTTTTTTAAATGATACTATTAAGCTTTAAGCAGAGGCGTAGCTAGAAAAATGTAATAAGGGGGGCCAGGGAATAACCAATGTACACTGGGGGGGTCAGGGGTGGGTGGTCTCAGGGTCAATCTACACCAGGGGTCACCAATTAAAATCAGGGGGTCCGAATCAAGAAAATCATCAATCAGTACAGGTCTGGAGATATTTTTAATGATCTGTTACTTTAAACAGTATTTAATACTGAAATAAAATGAGGTGTTTATGCATTCATGTTATACATTCAAATTTCATATAAGCAAATATATATATATATATATATATATATATATATATATATATATATATATATATATATATATATAAAATAAAAAAAATTTGAAAATTTTTCCATTTTAAAATCTGAAGTTTTTTTTGAAGCAGAGAACAGCAATCTTTCAATTTGGTATATTGACAATTTCCTGATTCACATGTTTTATAAAACACCTGAACTGACCGTTTTCTTTCTTTCTTTTTTTTTTGTTTTTTACGGCTTAATGAGAGTAGTGGGCTTTACGCCCGGCGTACACTGTGCGATTTTTTTCAATCGTTGCGCGCATCTGCTGCTCACATTGTATGACTAATTGCTGGGTTTAGTTGTACAGTAAGTTCACAGCTCGGCCCGACGCTCTGATGCGATCTACCTGCTCACACCATGTCGGACTCAGTTCCGCAGTGAGATGGAACTGGTCTGCTGTGTCTATCCTGAAGCCAAACCAATAGAAGGGGGATATTAAGCTCACTATAGTGAACTGCGCTGCCTTGGCAATTTGTGCAATTTTGTGCTGAAAGTCCTAAAAGAAAAAAGGCTTTGACGTATTTGGAAAAAGGATGTGGCTGAGCAGGTCCGTCAATTTTGCAGATGGAGCTGCATTTCACTCATTGCAGCCCTCCCATGCTGCTGTGTTTACATCTGAGAGGAATAATAAAAAGAAGAATCCTTTTTTGCGCATGCGCCCCGAGCGATTTGCCCTCGACGGTTGGGAGAAAATTAAAATACACTATATTGCCAAAAGTATTTGCTCACCCATCCAAATTATTGGAATCAGGTGTTCCAATCACTTCCATGGCCACAGGTGTATAAATTCAAGCACCTAGGCATGCAGACTGTTTTTACAAACATTTGTGAAAGAATGGGTCGCTCTCAGGAGCTCAGTGAATTCCAGCGTGGAACTGTGATAGGATGCCACCTGTGCAACAAATCCAGTCGTGAAATTTCCTCGCTCCTAAATATTCCACAGTCAACTGTCAGCTGTATTATAAGAAAATGGAAGTGTTTGGGAACGACAGCAACTCAGCCACGAAGTGGTAGGCCACGTAAACTGACGGAGCGGGGTCAGCGGATGCTGACGCGCATAGTGCGAAGAGGTCGCCAACTTTCTGCAGAGTCAATCACTACAGACCTCCAAACTTCATGTGGCCTTCAGATTAGCTCAAGAACAGTGCGCAGAGAGCTTCATGGAATGGGTTTCCATGGTCGAGCAGCTGCATCCAAGCCATACATCACCAAGTGCAATGCAAAGCGTCGGATGCGGTGGTGTAAAGCACGCCGCCACTGGACTCTAGAGCAGTGGAGACGCGTTCTCTGGAGTGACGAATCGCGCTTCTCCATCTGGCAATCTGATGGACGGGTCTGGGTTTGGCGGTTGCCAGGAGAACGGTACTTGTCTGACTGCATTGTGCCAAGTGTAAAGTTTGGTGGAGGGGGGATTATGGTGTGGGGTTGTTTTTCAGGAGCTGGGCTTGGCCCCTTAGTTCCAGTGAAAGGAACTCTGAATGCTTCAGCATACCAAGACATTTTGGACAATTCCATGCTCCCAACTTTGTGGGAACAGTTTGGAGCTGGCCCCTTCCTCTTCCAACATGACTGTGCACCAGTGCACAAAGCAAGGTCTATAAAGACATGGATGACAGAGTCTGGTGTGGATGAACTTGACTGGCCTGCACAGAGTCCTGACCTCAACCCGATAGAACACCTTTGGGATGAATTAGAGCGGAGACTGAGAGCCAGGCCTTCTCGTCCAACATCAGTGTGCGACCTCACAAATGCGCTTCTGGAAGAATGGTCAAAAATTCCCATAAACACACTCCTAAACCTTGTGGACAGCCTTCCCAGAAGAGTTGAAGCTGTTCTAGCTGCAAAGGGTGGACCGACGTCATATTGAACCCTATGGATTAGGAACGGGATGTCACTTAAGCTCATATGTGAGTCAAGGCAGGTGAGCAAATACTTTTGGCAATATAGTGTATGTTTGACCTCACGATTCCTGATCAGGAGGTGGTCGTGAGAGGCTGATCGCCGCTCGTAACCCACTGTACACTGCACGATCAGGCTGAAAGTCGGCCCGGTCGAAAGTTCTTCCCATGACTGGAAAATAGCCCCGAAAATCGCACAGTGTACGCTGGGCTTTAGGCTCCCCTGCAAGGTTTTAAACCTGGGTTTGAATGGAGACAATATTAATCACCTTTAATGTTAGTATATTGGTGTGCATAATTAACCACAGTGTTTTTTATTGTCAATAAACATATGAAAACTTTAAATGTTAAATAAGTTAGAACACTCCACTTGTGAGTATTACTGCTGCCACCCTCTGTATTAGAGGGAAATAAATGGTAGGGGTGGCCAATAATTGGCTAAGGGTGGCCATGGCCACCCCTGGCCCCCCATCTAGCCCTGCCCCTGGCTTTAAGAGATTACATTGTAGTTAACCCCATCAGCTGTCCATAAAGATGTTCATGTTAGTTGTTTCCATTCATGATTAAAAGGTGCCTCTGAACTAATTAGAATAACTTATGGAAAGTGAATTTCAGTGATTTATGATAAGAGTGAAATCTAAATGAATGTTTTATGGGGTTATCAGTTTTTAATATGAACGCTCATATAACTAATGAAAACCCTTGACTATGTTTGTTTGAAAAGTCAATTTTACATAAAATAACACCCTAAAAACAGTCTGGTCTATACAACCAAAACAAATTGGTTGAATTTCAGTAATCAGGTTCATAGTTATGTTTCCCACCAATCTTTTGGTTAGAATAACCAATCTAATTTGAGAGTGGTTATAACCAATCTATACTGGTAAAAGTGCAAAGCAATAACCTGATAAACCAGACTAAATGTGAGATTAAATGTGTAATGATTGTGGCCTTTGGTGGGTGGGGCTAGTTTACTAGGCTAGCAAAGCAATACAAATTGGTCCATTTGAGCAAATTTATTGGTTAATTAGTTTAACCATATTGAATTCAGATCACAGGCTTGAACCATCAACTCTTTTACTGCAGGGCTGACTCCTTCATCTGATGCAACTGTTCCCACTAAAACTTCATGAAATTTAATACTTTTTAATACTACTGTTAGCACCAGGGTTAATGCCAAAATTAGCATGTTATATATGTACACATTATTGTAATTGTTCTCTAGGTCCATATTTATTACACAATACACATGACTACAGCCAACAGTCAGATTAGTAGACCATCAGTTACCATTTAATAACTAAACTGGTTGATCTGAAACTGGTGGCTTGTCAGTTTCTGTTGGATGTATTGGTTAATCTAACCCAAACTGGTTTAACAAACTAGAATGTTTCTCAAACCAATCTATTCTTAGAGTGAAAAACAAGGACAGTTTATGTTTAATAGTATGTCTCTGCTGCACTCAGTATTTGGTGGGAAAGTAAGCCTAGAATACTTTAACAACAGTGTTGGATCTGATTTATTGTGTTCCCTCTTGATAGAGCAAAGAAAATATAGCACTTTTGTGTTTACTTAGAGCAGCAGAGCTCTAGCTTTAACGGCTGTTACACTATGCAATAAAATATAGTGAGACATGTTAATAGGTTTGCTGAAAAATATAACAGTTACTGCAGACTTTGCACATTGGTCATGACCGCTTGTTGCATTTTCAGAGGTTCAGGAGTAGCTTAACGTCAAAAACTGCTGTAGTTGTAGCCAATGTCCTTGGTTTCTGTGTCTTAAGGGGTATTTAGTGCTTTTTGATTTACTTTTAATTTATTTTTCCTTCCACTAAACTTTTCAATACAGTTGGATAAAACATTCTTTCAAAAGCCTGGTTTGCTTGTATTGCTGGAGAAGATTGTCAGTCATCCAGGTTGTAGTCCTTCCCAAAAAAAAAAAGAAAATGAAAAACAAGTTTGAAAATGTTTCACTTCCCATCCAAGAAGCTTTTTCAATTGACAATTTCAGGATAGCGCTGAGTTTGAGGTTTTATACAATATTGCTCGTATTAGAATGTGTGCAAAACAGTTAGCATGCCCAAAGCTGATCTTCAAGCAGGTGTAGATGGATTTGCTTTTGTAGAATTAATAGAACTGGCAACACAAATGTTTTTGCATGTGTGCTTCTATGAATATAAAGATCATATTCTAATAACTGGGTGAAAATATGCAATAAGTAAACACTTAAAAGCTGCAAAGCAATCTGTCAAATCTGAAACTGATTACTAGCAGTGTTTATGAGTCTGTAATGACTGGCTCCTAAAATCAGGTGCAAACTCG